AGAATTGATTTCTGAGCACACATCTAGGAGCCAGTGCTGAGCACCACTGGATGTGCCCCCCCCCCAAAAAAAAACCAAAAAAGATCCAAGTTCTCACCCAGGTACAATGTTCTGTTACCTACCTACTAACTGATTAATAACAGGCTAGCTGAGTACACTATAAGTAAGGAAGAAATGGAAACTTTTTTGACCCCAGGTTTAACCAATTTTGCATCTGAACAGAACAGATATTCCCATCTCAAATCTACTGGAAGAGAGAGAAATATGTGATGTTCGTATCAGGGCTATAGGCTGTATTATGAAAAGTTTACTCAGGTGTTTTTACATTTATGTATCTATTTAGCAGCCTGGGGACATTCTTTTCTATATCATTCCAACTACCCAGTAACAACTTATTTCACCACAATCTGTATTCAGAGAATGTGTTTGTAGAAAAACTCAGTGGCAAGTATTTTATTGAAGGAGTATCAAAGTTTGGCTGGCTTTTAAAACATTCTGTGTCAGCCCTTTCACATTATTATTAACCTGATGGAGATTCGTGGCCTATGATCTTCTCTATCACCTGTCATTTCCATTTGTTCTGACTTTGGATGACCTCCCAAGCCCATCCTGCATATTTCCACCACCATTCAGCTCCCCATAACCCCGAGGTAAATGATGAGACAAGAGTCTTGACTACATTTATCCATTTATTAAAATATTTTAAGAAGCAAAACTCTATTAACTTTGAGTACTAGTGTTCCATTTTTGTGAGTAGGAGGAAGAGGCACACAATGTGGATTTTTTTCTGCTTTTCAAGGTTACCTCATTAACTACTTGAGCTTCCTCCCCCAGCCATCCCCATGATGCCATCCCCATGCATATTTGCAGGGACCTGAGGAAGCAACAGCAACAATCAGCTAACCACATAAATTACCAATCAGCAGACAAATAGACAAGTGCATTTCCACAAGTCACATCACCAGCAAAGTTCATTACAGGATGCATTGTGCTAATGGGTATGGTTGCTTTGCTATTCATTTCTACTTATCAAACTAAACTTTTTTTTACTCATGTCCTGTGGGAAGAAGATGCTAACCCAAATTGTTCCTTCTGATCAGTCTTTAACACACTTTATTACATTCAAAATTCTTTCTTATCCTTCTCCAGGCCCAGCACTGGATGCTTTTATAGAGAGCTGATAACTGCTACAGATAGCTGCTGACCTTTGGTGTTGATAGCAAAAGCAGTTTGTGGCAATCTGAATCTATTGATGTTTTCCTTCCCTACTCTTCTGGCCATAAATTCTTCATTCAATAAGTTCCTCAGAAAAGTGCTAAGTTGCAACCAAATCCCAAAGCTTTGACTTTTAAGGACATCTGACTATGAACATAATTAAAATGAATATTTGGTGGTCCCACCCCCAGCAATTGTAGTTAACAGTAATGTCCCGAAGAGAGTTTTTGCTTCCAAAGGAGAAGCCAACTCCCCTGAGGGAGAACACTATTATTCATTTCATTTCCGAATCAGGAAAAGCAAGGTGTTCAGTCAGTTGTATTCCTTTCCAGAAAGCAATTAATGACCACTATTTAGAAGGCAACCAAGTGATTTATCAAGTCACAGTTGCTCCCCTGTCTCATCATCTACCATTTTTTCTCCTTGAATTGACTTCAGCCACAAATCAAAGTGGTGGTTTCCTTCAATTCAATATTGTTCAATTCAATATTTAGGGTGGGAGGGCAAAGGTGGGTGAAAGGGGATTGAAATGGCACAATAACTACTGAAGCATTACAATGCACATAACTGTAATTTAGCAAAGTAAGCACAAGAGATGGAGTCCTATTCCAGTTTACTGCATTGATGAAAATAATTACAAGACACAGTCCTGCTTAGGCACTGCCAAAGTAAGGCTACCATTTCTCAGGACTTACTTCTGCTTCCTTAAATGTTACTATTTGGAAAGTTTCCATTTTAATAATGGCCCTTTTGAGAGAAATGCATTGGAGTTCCCATTCTAAGTTGAGTGTGTATTGATGTTAATGTGTGCAGCCACAGAAGGACCAAGTTAGGTTGCAGTGTTGACCTTGCTGATTTCCTTTACTACATCTTCCTGGGAAGAAAGAGTAATTCAGAAAAAGTCAAAGGCAGAGAAACAGCACACTATGCCTCTAATCTTTCCTTTAAAATTCTGATGTTTAAACAAATTTTCAATGTTATCTTTCAACTTTTTCCATAAAGTTTTCTCTCTAGTTGTAGAACTAGGACAGTTATATTGTTCTGGCACAGCACTCAGACATTTGGGGACTACCTCTTGCTAATGGTTTTTCCTCACACCTACAGAGGTGGAACATGGGTGGCTGGTTTAAGAGGTCTGGGCTGGTGAAGTTCCAGAATTGAGAACTGGTATTTCAAGTGTGAATTTCGCACCATGATGAACCAGCCATTGGACTGAGTCATGTAATTAAGCACACTGTGTTTGATCAATGGGGAGAAGCTGATTTTCTGGCTTTCTCTCCATAGGAGAGAAGGGACACTTATTTAGAGGTCTGAACTGAGGTTGAAGTGGGGATGCAAGATAGACAAGACAGAACTCCTCCAGAAACTGGAGTTTGAATCTAGGAATAGATATCTAAGAAATGGAAATTGAGATTTGGATCAAGTTTCACCTAATTTGTTTTCATGATAAATTTATTAAAAATTCATTAAAACCATGAAGTGGCAGAGACAATTAGTCTCTATTTTCTTAGGCTTGTGTTCTTTATAGTCATTTGGAATGTTCCTCTGTACTCAGGTAAAGGAACAAGATGAATAACTGAAGGTGATTTGTGAACTGACAGAAACACCTGTGCAGAAGGTGTGGGCCAATATGGAATTTGTAGGGAAGGGACTTAGTTGTTAGGCAATCCTAACTTGGATATCTAGGACACATAACTCGAAGCCTGGCTGCTCCATAAGGACTTCTTGTTGGGAAAGAGCACAGCACAAGCTAAGGGCAGTGGCTGATATAAAGTCTAGTACAAATAAAGCATAAGAGGCCGCATGCCACTTAGCCCCATTTTCTAGGGCACTGGTATTTGTATTCCCCTTTCTCTGGCCTGGCTCAGAATTATAAGGGGTCATCATAGTCAGCTGGACAATAGGTAGAGTCCAGCCACTTTTAAGACACTGAAAATGCACCAAAAATTAGAAGCTCCACCAGGAACTAGAACAGTTAGTTGATATAGCTTGTGTAAAAGCTGTTAGTTGATACAGCGCATGCTGTATGTGTGTGTGCAATGGGTAACAGGGTGGATTTTGGGATCTGGGTGGAGAGATATTGTTGACTAGCACAATAAATTATAATGTTATTTAGAGGCTAATTTGTCTTTTTAGTTATTAATATTTATGTACATATTAAATGTTCCTATACATAATTTATATTTTGCATCACAGTAGCAAAACATTTAAATAATCCAGTAGAATGTAATCACACTGTGGAAATGTGTAGCCTAGGATCAAACTAATAGATGGGTCGCCTGTCTGATTGCTATACAAGTGATTTCTAATGAATTGGCCCACCCAGCCACCAGAGAACTATGTGGACAAATATGCAAACATGAGAAAACATAAAAGTTTTGTAAATAGCAGTCATCATGTCTACAATAAAATACATCATGTGGTCTTTCTAACAGGCTAGTGGAAAAGCCCCTAGAACCTAATTCTCATCTTTATAATCAAACTAGAATAGTTGTAAATTTTAAACTGTCAGGGATTTGGGAAGAAGCACAACCAAGTCTGGTTGTTCTCACACTCATCTTCACCTCCAAGAGTAGGGGCTTTCTTTAGTTCATTCCCTAGCATCATCAGTTTCACTGTCAGAGAAAAATATGCCAAGTTCCCTGAAAAGGTGTTGAATATCCTTCAATCTTTTCCAGGTCATTCATTTAGACCATATGCCATTTAAAATATTTTTAGTTGCTCCAGATGTATACAGAAAAGATTAAATGAAAAAATATAACTTGGAAAATGTAATCCTCTAAGAAAGCCTAACAGAACCCAGGAAAAAGTATTATTGTAAAGAATTGGAAGGTTTTTTCTTGGTGATGCTCATGTTTGTTCTGAAATATAGTCTTGCCTGTATTGAGGTTTTTAGAATTAAATAGAATTTTAAAGTGCATTCTCATCGAGCTTTCAAGGTCTACAGTTGAGATGTTGATGTTGAAGGATCATCATATTTTGATTCATCATCATCAAACTCATCTTCATCATCGTCGTTATCATCATCATCATCATCATTGTCATTTCTACGATGCCAGAGATTTACTTCAGAGAGAAAAAATAAGTATAGAAAAAATGAGGTTAGCACATTGTTACATTTGCAAAATTATGGAATATAAAGAGAACACAGTTTGTTAGAAGTAGTCATTTGTTCCCAATTTTACCAACTACCCCTGAACTATCTGAGAAAACAAAATGGCTTTATATAAGGTAAACACAAATAAGATGATTATGGGACCAATTCTTAGAATATTAAAATGTTTTTCATCCCTTTAGAGTCTTCATGAATGCTTTCAGATAACATGGTTTCCAAATTGAAAAATTGTCAGACAATCAAACCAGTTGGGCAAAACCTGAGCAAAACACAGAAGATTCTCTCTTGACACCTGTGCAAACTCTTGGTTTCTTAAAAACAAAACAAGGGGGCTGGAGTGATAGTACCCTGAGTAGGGCATTTGCCTTGCATGCAGCCGACCTGGGTTTGATTCCCAGCATCCCATACGGTACCCTGAGAACCACCAGGAGTAATTCCTGAGTGCAAAGCCAGGAGTAACCCCTGTACATCGCCGTGTGTGACCCCAAAAGCCAAAACCCCCCAAAAACAAAAACCAAAAATGAACTGCCACCCTATATCCCTATTCTCCACGTCCACTATCTGTATTTCCTAGTTTTTCCGGGTTTTTTAACTCAAAACTTTGGACGGAATTGACAGAACTTACAACTCAGTTATAAACATTTTGGTCCCCAATGAAATGCGAATGATGTCAGTAATACTTGAATTCAGTACTGAAAGGATGGCTCAAACATTCAAATAAAACAGAATATTTGTACTTGAAGAGACTGTCTAAAATAGGGAATAAATCCCAAATCTGTAGGTGACTAATACAACCATTTCAAATAATACTGTTTGCTGAACAAAACCAAAGCTGTAGTTGCATTTGACTGTAAGAGAGGCCTAAGTATAATATTTTCCTATTTATCAACCAAAGATAGGAATGGGTCAAGCAAAAAAATAGATTCTGTAAAACAGCCTGTTCTTCAACTGTTTATCAATGTATCTCAACCTTTTTTTTTGATTGCTCATCTTTCCAACTTTGTTTCCTTCTTACAATTTGGGCCTATAGTTTCATGCTATGCTTACACCCCATTTACATGATTTTCACCTGTAGCCCTCTTGAAATATTGAAAAACACTGGGTTATATAACAGAAACCCCGCAGATTCTTCTAGGTTTTCCCTATATAAATAGGGAAATAGCTTGTCTGTTATACTGCTTAGCATTGTCTGATGTTGACTTTTGGGTGGCATCCATTGCACGATATCTCTTAGGCATTTCTAATCAGACCTTTAGGTCCATGAGAGGTACTAAACTTTCTGGGAAAGTTTTCATGACACTCCCACCCCCATTACCCCCTACACAGTGCCTGGATTTCAGGGAAGACTTACCAAGAAAACTCTGAATTCGTTTCCTTGATTTAGCCTTATCTTCCTTTTTTGACTTCTTCCCAAATTTTGGAAATTTTATTTTCAATTTGTGGTGTCTACTGTGAAATTCTGAATATTCCTCCTGGGAAACCACAGGAAATTGGTAAAATATTAGTTACTAAAGATTCAGAAACAATTCAATGCAGTCCCTATAAGGCTGCTCATGGAATTTTTCAAAGGGTTAGATCAAATACTTCTGAAATTCATATGTAGCAACAACCTCCTGTCATGAATACCCAAGGAATCCTTGAGAAAAAGAACATGGGAGGCATAAATTTTCCCAACTTCAAACTATACTACAAAGCAGTAGTAATTATAACAGCATGGTACTCATATTAAGACAGACCTTCTGAAAAATGGAGAAGAATTGAAAATCAAGAGAAAAACCCTCTTGTACGATTCCCAAAAAACTAGAAATTGAGCTTCCATTTGACCCAGCAATACCACTCCTGGGAATATACCCCAGAGAGGCAAAAAAGTATAGTCAAAGCGACATCTGCATTTGTCTGTTCATTGCAGCACTGTTTGCAATAGCTAGAATATGGTAAAAACCTGAGTGCCCGAGAACAGATGATTCGTTAAAGAAACTTTGGTACACAATGGAGTACTATGTAGCTGTCACAAAGGATGAAGTCATGAAATTTACATACAAGAGGTACTACATGGAAAGTATCATGCTAAGCGAACTGAGTCAGAAAGAGAGGGACAGACATAGAAAGATTGCATTCATCTGGGGAACATAAAGTAACAAAATAGGAGACTAACACCCAAGAATAGTCGATATAAATACCATGAGGTTTACTCCATGGCTTGGAGGCCAGCCACACACTCTAGGGGTAAGGGCAGCTCAGATAGAGAAGGGAGCACCAAATAAAGGGTGTTAGAAGGATCCTCTCATGATGGGAGAGGCATGCTGAAAGTAGACTTTAGACCGAACATGATTGCCACTCAATGCCTCGTTTGCAAACCACAGCACCCAAAAGGAGAGATAGAACAAAAGGGAGTGCTCTGCCACAGAGACAGAGTGGGATGGGGGGTGGGAGGGATACTGGGATTAGTGGTGGTGGAGAATGAGCACTGGTGGAGGGATGGGTACTCAATCATTGTACAATTGAAACCCAAGCACAAAAAATTTTTAAGTCTACAACGGTACCTCATGGTGTTTCACTAATAAAAAAATAAAAATAAAAAAAGAGAAAGGTCCTCAAGTATAGGATCAATCTTCAATAAAGGAACAAAAATAGGAAGTGGAGCAAAGCAAACCCCATCAACAACTGATGGTGACAAAACTGGTCATCCACATGCAAATATTAACTTATATCTCTTACTGACACCATACACAAGTATAAAATTAAAATGGATTACAGACCTATATATCAGACCTGAATCCATAAGGTAAATAGAGGAAATCATAGGCAGATCTCTCCATGACAATGAAACTAGAGGCATTTTTAAAATTTTTTATTAGTGAAACACCATGAGGTACAGTTGTAGATTTGCAAATTTTTGTGCTTGGGTTTCGATTATACAATAATCAAGTACCCATCCCTCAACAAGTGCCCATTTTCCATCACCATGGATCCCAGTATCCCTCCCATATCCATCCCCCCCACCCCACCCTGCCTCTGTTCTCTCTGAGAATCTTTTGTTCTCTCTCTCCTTTTGGGTGTTGTGGTCTGCAAAAGAGGCATTGAGTGGCAATCATGTTCAGTCCATAGTCTACTTTCAACATGTATCTCCCCTCCTGGGACGATCCTTAGAGGCATTTTTCAGGTTGAAACACTACTGATCAAGCAAGTGGAAGCAAATGTAAACAATTTGGACTACATTAAATTTAAGAATATTCTGCACTTCAAAGAAAATTAAGACCAAAATACAAAAGCAGACCACAGACTGTGAGAAATTATTCGCCCATCATTCATCCTGTAAAGCATTGGTATCAAGATAGATAAATCACCAATAGAACTTTACAAGAAAAAGAAATCCAATCCAACCTCGTTAACAAATAAGAAGAAAAGACGAACATAAATTTCTTAAAAGATGAAAATATGAGTAGCCAAATGGCACATGAAAAAATGTTTTGTATCATCAGTCATGAGGAAAATTCAAATTAAAACGACAATGAGATAACTCCTCAAGTCAAAGAAACTGGCACTCATCAAAAAGAATAAAAAACCAGTGTTGATGTGGAAGCAGGATAAGGGACCCTCATTCACTGCTGGTGGGAATGTCAACTAGTCCAGTCTATTTGGGAAACAATACGGACATTCCTCAAAGAGTAGGAATTGAGCTTCCATATGACTCAGCAATTCTGTCCCTGGGAGAATACTCCAAGAGCTCTGAACACAATGCAGAAAAGATATCTTTATTCCTATGTTCTTTTCAGCACCATTCACAATAGCCCAAATCTGGAAACAGCCCAAGTGCCTGAGAACAGACAAGTAGTTAAAGAAACTATAGTCAATCTACACAGTGGAATGATATGCAGCTGTTAGGGAAAATGAAGTCATGAACTTAGCAGCTACATGGATGGACATGGAGAGTATCATGCTGAATAAAATTGGTCAGAGGGAGAGGAACAAACAAAATGATCACACTTATTTGCAGAATATAGAAACATAGTGGGAGAATAATACCAAAAGACAATGGAAACTAACTCCAGGATGACTTGTCCTTAGAAGAAAGCTTGCCACAATAAAGAAGGCTGGTTAGGTCAGAGACAGGACCGCTATGACAATGATAGTGGGATCTGATCAATCTGAACAAGAACTGGGTTCTGGGAGATGATAAAATGATATGCACGATACCTTTCAGTAACAGAATTGCAAACTACAGTGTCTAAAAGGAAAAAAGAGAAAAAAGAAAAGTTTCTGTCCTGCAGGTAAGCTGGAGAGTGAGAAAGAAACTGGAGACATTGGTAGAGGAAAGTGGATACTGGTAAAGGGACTGGGGTCCAAATATTATAGAACTGCAACTCAATAACCAACAACTTTGTTTTAACTTCGTTATAATGCAGGATGAGATCACTTATACGTGGTATTTAGAATATCTGGATGAGGTAATGCAATGTTTTAAACTAGAATGCCCAGATCAACCTTGTGGATGGTGGGGGAGAAGAGACAGATGAGGAGCAATGGGTATGAGAAAGTCAGTGGATTTAGGTACAATGGTGATATAAATGAATGAGACAAATATCCAAACCACAGGTTCAACAACACTGAAATTGAGAGACCCAAACTTTAACAACCAAACATAGAATTGTGCCTATTGAGTGGGCAGGTTGGGAATATTGGAAGAGGGAAGTTGACACTGGTGCTGGGATCAGTGCTACAATACTATATGTCTATCATCTCACACCACAGAGACTGGCACACATTCAAAATAACAAAAGCAACCAGTGCTGGCGTGGATGTGGGGAAAAGGACACTCTTTCACTGTTGGTGGGAATGCCCACTAGTCCAGCCTTTCTGGAAAACAATATGGACAAAAACTAGAAATTGAGCTTCCATGTGAATGACCCATAATATGAATAATGAATAATATGAATAATCCATTATATGAATAATCCATAAGCAATACCACTTCTGGGAATTATATCCCGAGGATGCAAAAAAGAACAGTAGAAAATACATCTATACCTATATGTTCATTGCAGCACTGTTCACAATAGCCCAAATCTGGAAACAACCCAAGTGCTCTAGAACAGATGACTGGTTAAAGAAACTTTGGTACATCTACACAATGGAATACTATGCAGCTGTCAGGAGAGATGAAGTCATGAACTTTGCTTATAAATGGATAGACATGGAGAGTATCATGCTCAGTGAAATGAGTCAGAAAGACAGGGACAGACATAGAAGAACTGCACTCATTTGTGGAGTATAAAACAATATAACATGAGGCTGACACCTAAGGATAGTAGATACACGGGTCAGATAGATTGCTCCATAGCTGGAAGCCTGCCTCATGAGCAAAGGGGAGAAGGCAGCTGGAATAGAGAAGGGATTGTTAAGAAAAAGATGGCTGGAGGAATCTGTCGGTGTGTGAGATGTGTGCCGAAAGTAGATAAGGGACCAAACATGATACCCTCTCAGGGTCTGTTTTGCAAACCCTAATGCCCCAAAGTAGAGAGAGATTATGGGGAATAATTTGTGCCATGGAGGCAGAGGGAGGGTGGGAAAAGGGGGGTATACCGGGGATATTGGTGGTGGGGAATGTGCACTGGTGGAGGGATGGGTGTTTGATCATTGTGTGATTGTAAACCAAACATGAAAGCTTGTAACTATCTCATGGTGATTCAATAAAATTTTAAAAAATACTATATGCCTACAACTCAACTATTAATATCTTTGTAAATTACAGTGATTTAATTTAAAAATCAGAAACAATTATTAGAAGCCGGGCAAAGTAGTGAACAAGAAAAGGTACTTGGGTTTTTTATTGGGGGGGTGTTGGGCACACCTAGCGGTTTTCAGGGTTTATTCCTGGCTCTGTCCTCAGGGATCATTGAGGACAGAGCCAGGAGTAAACCCTGAATGGACAGAGCCATTCCTGGCAGGCTTGGGATCATATAGAGTGGCTTGGGATCATACAGAGTGGCTTGGGATCATATAGAGTGACCATCTGGCAAACTCGGGTAGGCTCCATGCAAGACAAATGCCCTACCCTCTGAGTTATCGCTCTGACACACTAGAAATGCCACTTAGAAATCAGGCAGATCAGCTACAGATTTAGGTGTGAGAATCAGCTCTTGTAATTAGTCTCATCTCTAAGGAGGCAACTAATTTTTGCTTATATCTTATTTTGTGCTAGATGCCTTGGTAAATAATAAATGCTCTTTGAGGACACTGCAAAATAACCTTTTAATATTACTGTTATTTGTAATTTGTATATGAGGAAGTAGAGGCTCAGAGAGATTAAAAAAATCATGTGAGGACATGTGACGGTGGATTAAAAGGGTAATATTTGCCTCCAGGTGCCATTTTAAGTGCATTAATGGTCATGATCCAGAGATCACAAATAAATCTCAGAACCGAGAAGCTCAATTGCAGAGATGTCTCTGGATCCCAATTATTTAAAATTTTAGAATTTTAGGAGTACGCAGCCCTGAAAGCAGCCCCGTGACATCTCATGCTATTCATAAAAAGCAACACAATATAAATTATCTAGCATCTGCTTGTGGAGAAGGCTTGAGTGGTGGTAGGAAAATTCTAAATAATGGTGGTGGGAAAGTGTAATGATGGTGGGACTGGTGTTGAATTGTTGAATGTAATCGATTATTTTGAACAACTTTATAAAATAAAATTTAAAAATAAATAAAAATGGTAAGATTGTCAGAACAAACACTTGCTATATAAGTAGTTTGTATGAAACAGGAAAAAGTGTCTTTTCCTTCAGTCATAAGGTTTGGTGAACTCCAACTCACTCCCTAGATTAATTAGGGAAGCACCCACTTCCACGAACACCTCTTTCCCTATAGACTGAGTGAATTCTCTACACATAACACTTAATATTGAAAGTAAGCTCTCTGCTACACATTTCATGAAGGCTCTTTAGTTCAATCTCAGCCTCTTTGTTTTCTTTATCCTCTTAAAGTGTGTTTGTTCTACAAGTGGTTCTCAGTCAAATGTACTTCTGAGCTTAACTGTTGTCAGAGAGTTCTGCCAACACATTCCAAGGAATTTTGGGATTCTCTTCCCTTCAAGATTATTTAAACCTCTGGCCCCTTGCATTAGAAGAAGGTATAAACCTGTCCTCCTCCTCTGCCTGCCTAACTTCCACTTATCCTCCCTCTTCTAGGTCATATACACCCATTTTCAGAATGTTCTTTCAGAAGAATCATAAAGGGAGGGAACAGATCTTCTCACTCAGCTAAAGTCTTGTAAAGCCTAGTGAATAACTGAGTCATATCCTGACTTTCCCCACATACTGCATCTCCAGATGCAGATCCCAAAGTGCTCTGAATCTTCTGTAGCCTTAAAATGAGCAAGTTTCGTGTCAAGTAAATGAGTAACACCTTCCTGTGTTTTCCAATATAGTCTGACTTTATTTAAAACCTCATTCATCCCTACAGAAATAGTGAGGATCAGAAAAGATATTATTCCCTGGGCCAAGCAGATTCACATACTGACACCTCAGAGTATGGACTGTCTCATATTTCTAAATACCCTGACAGGGGGTTGGTGAGAGATAGTTGAATTAGTAATAATAGTAAGGTAGTGCTATAAGAGTTTGCTTCCTGAATAAAAGCCTATTTTTCTTTTCTCGAGGACTATTGCATGGTGCCAGGGGCAGTTGGTGGGTGTAACGCCTACATACTGGAAGATGGGGATCTTGGTAGAGGAGGCCCAGTCCCAATCCAAGCAGGCTTGGAGATCTATGCCTCAGGTTCCGCACACCTGGGTTCCTCTGCCTGTTCCTTCATACGTGAGGCTCGTCTGAACATGTGGAGAGTGGTCTTAAACATGGCTGTGGCTAGAACCAGAGGTCTTCAGCTGCCGGGGCTCTGCTCAGAGTGGGGAAGGAAATCCCATCAACGTGTAATCCCATCAAAGTCCAAGACTCAGAGACTATAAAACCCTGCTCCTGAAAGAGAACAGCACAGAGTCTCCTGCCTCTGCACCTGGCTGTCCTCATTGGGGCCCCTTGGAGGAGGGTGGGTTGAGTTTCCCTCCCCACCCTGAGCAAAGCCCCGGCAGCTGAAGACCTCCGGTTCCAGCCACACCCATGCTTAAGACCACTCTCCACAGGTTCAGACCAGCCTCACTCATGAAGGAACCGACAGAGGAACCCAAGTGTGCGGGACCCGGGGTGTAGATTTCCAAGCCTGCTCCGGTTGGGACTGGGCCTCCTCCACCCAGATCCCCCCTCTTCCAGTATGTAAGCGTTACACCAACCAACTGCCCCTGGCACCATGTAATCCCATCAACGGCCAAGACCCAGAGACTATAAAAGCCTGCTCCCGGAAGCAGACATGACATCTTATTATTTAGTTCTTACTCTGGAAAACCTGGCAGGCTACCAAAAGTATCCTGCCCACACGGCAGAGTCTGGCAAACTCCCCATGACATATTCAATATGCCAAAACCAGTAACAATGATGGATCTCATTCTCCTGACCCTGAAAGAGCCTCAAATGTGGCACTTCTTAAAATCTCAGGGCTAAGACGAAGGAGACGTTACTGGGGCCTGCTCGAGGCAATCGATGAACAACAGGATGACAGTGACAGTGACAGAGGACTATTGATTAAGAACAACAAAGTACTCAGCAAATGTTTATAAGAAAGCAATTAAATCTGTGGGTCCCTCCAGTGCTTAGGGATCATATGATGCAAGGGATCGAACTCAGTTCCTTTGCATGCAAGGTATGTACTCTATTCCTTTGAGCTAGTTCCCTGGATCATAGGGCTATTCTTCTTAAATTGTAGTTTGAATGCTGTTCTCGTCCATACATACCTATCTGGTTCTCTTAAACTCATACATTGGTGTATTGGAACCAGTAATTAGTTATGATAAATAGGGAAACTAGGTGATTTCTTTAGGTTAAAACAAGCTATTTAATGGAAATCTTTAAATAAGAATTCCATGAGACCACCACAAAGAATGTAATTTGCCTAATGATAGGTAGAAATCTATGAATCATTTTATTTCTAAAATAGAAATTTTCTATTCTAAGAAGGCAGTCAGCATCCTTATTGCTATATTGTAGTCCCTGCGACCATGATTGAATTTCTTCTACCTATACATACACCTGCGTAAAACACACAGAGAGCCATCTATCCAACCAGAAATAAAAGAATAGAAAGCAGCATGGAGAGGTATATTTGGAAGAGTTATCCACTAAAATAATTGGGGAACAAACAATATTTGGAAAAGATATGGGTTTTAAACATTTTAAAGACCATAAAAATATGTACCACCAACATGGAAAGTATCATGCTAAGTGAAATGAGTCAGAAAGAGAGGGATAGGCATAGAAAGATTGCATTCATCTGGGGGATGTAAAGTAACAAAATATGAGATTAATACCCAAGAATAGCTGAGATAAGCACCAGGAAGATTACTCCATAGCTTAGAGGCCAGCCGGGCATTCTAGGGGAAAGGGCAGCTCAGATAGAGAAGGGAGCACCAAATAAAGGGTGTTTGGAGCATCCTCCCAGGAGGGGAGATGCATTTTGAAAGTAGACTATGGACTGAACATGTTTGCCACTCAATGCCTCTTCTGCAGACCACAACACCCAAAAGGAGAGAGAGAACACAAGGGATTGCCCTGCCACAGAGGCAGGGTGTGATGGGGGGATGGGGGTGGGAGGGATATTATCCATGGTGGTGGAAAATGGGCACTGGTAGAGGGATGGGTATTTGATCATTGTATAATCGAAACCCAAGCACAAAAAATTGTAAATCTACAACTGTACCTCATGGTGTTTCACTAATGAAAATTAAAAAAAAATATGTACCATGTGAAATTCAGCCATGGCCATAGGTACTACACAGGGATGGAGGACTGCAGCCAGGAAAACAATGTAAGAACAAAAATAATCTTGCTTTTTCTTTTCCAATAACCTCCTGCCACAGAGTGATTTTTTTCTTTGGTTATTTTCACATGGTGATCTAATTTTTCAATGTTATTTCTGCCATGTACTCCTCACTTTTAAGAAGATGGTGGAAAGACTATCCATAAACTACAGCTGAAAGTCCTTACTGGACTTCCTCTACTACATCAGTCACTTGTTCATGCCCCCTGTGGTATCAAGGAAGAATCCCTTTTCCCATTTATTTCTTCATTCCCACATCACACACCTCTGGAAAAAGAATAGGATTAATCCAGTCGATTTTAGAGAGTTTTTCAAACTCCTGATTCATGGCATCCAGTGTAGTTTTCAGCATGGCCTCATTTTCAACATTTCTCAGCTGGTAAGGAGAGGAAAAAAGTGAGTTTCTAATAGTTATCAGTCTCCCTTTATCGACTCTTCCAGCCACTCCCAAGTATCTGCTAATGGTCATGACCACACAGTGTCAATTTGTATGTATCTCCTTTGGCGTTGGTCTCATTGAAGAATGTAGCCAGTTTTTCTCTTTTTCTATTAAGGAGATAAAGGAAAGGACTATATGGTGGGACTTTGCTTGGGTCTGAATACACTCCCAGTTCAGCAGGCATAAAGGCTCTTTGACCAGTCCAAGTTAACATTGAGGTTTGCCAGTATAATGTAAGGTCAAGGAAAATAATTCTACCCTGGATTCTAAGTGTACCCCAAATAATAGCTACCAACTTTCGAGCACATACTATATGTAACACATTGTGCATAAATTATTTCATTCTACCTCCCCAGTAACTTTACAACATCTTTCTGTTACTATTGAATAGTATGCATTACAAAACATTACAATACATTATGTACAATACTTTACAATATGACATATATAATTCTATCTATGAGAAAACAAACTCAAAGATACTTAGTGGCCAAGATCACATCTGGAAAGAATCCAGACATTTCACTCTATAGCTTACCCATTATACCACACTCTCCTGTTGAGGATATGTGGGATGGCTAGATGATTAGCAGATCTTTATTACATACTTATTATGATTTAAATTCTCAGATGACTAGAGTGAGAATGGCTCAACATTTTCCTTCCTGGCAAAGAGAAACTTACTCTCACATTTGTGCTTTATCCTTTAGCTTTTCACTATTAGTACTTAATGAGTTTCAGATTGTTTCCCCATGGCTTTAGGAAACAAAGTATTCCCTTGTTTAACCACAGAATGAGCTCTGTATAGTTTATGGGAATCTTAATTTTTTTTCTGATACCATCTCCAATGCAGGAAACCCAAGTTCTAGATGAGGAACATAGGTAAAATAGTTTCTGTTCCAGATGATAGAGATCTGGGAGAACATGTGCATTCTGAGATCTCCAGCTCTGACATGCTTTTCAATCCTCATAACTTTACTCATCTCTCCTCCATGACATGTATCATATACTTTTTTATCTGGAAACTATGTGGCTTTTTCTATTCATGGGAAACTTGCTGTTTTGAATTTGGTTGGAGACTTTCCAACTGTTAGAAATAGCAGGGCAGATGAATGGGAAGGGGCGTGAATGGGAGTGGGAGGTTGAAACCAGTCAATGAGATGAAGCAGAAACAAGTCAGTTCTGACAAATAATATCTTGTGATTTTGCATTGCAATTAATTGGGAATGTACAGAATTGACCAGATGAACATACCATGTAAGTGTGGCAGTAAGTAGGAGAAGGGTATAATGTAGAAATAGCCATCACTTCAAAGTAAATAGGGTAAGGACACGGAGTACTTATGGGCATATTTACAAGCAATGTTTTTTTTGGGGGGTTGATACTCAAACTCAAGGCCACAGATAGGAAAGAAGAATTTGAAACCATGAAAAAGGACTGCAAATTATAATCATAGAAGAATAAAATTATTTTCTAATTACTTTCTATTTAGTATAAGGAGATTTGTGATCTAAGAAATAGTAGAAGGGTAGGGCATCAGCCTTGTGTTAGTTTCCTATCCTTATGGATTCAGGGAACTCTTCTCTGATAGGTGCTTTCACCAAAAGATATTTTGAAATCCTAACCCCCAAACTTCATAATGTGACCCTGTTTGGAAATATTTTCATTGCATAATTGTGAAGATGAGGTCATTACTGGAGTAAGGTAGGTCCCTGAGCCAGTACAATTAATATATTTTAAGATTATAGACATGTTAAAAGTAATTCCTGGACTTGGTAGAAACAACAGTGCTTACCAGGAAGAAAGAGGAGGAGGGCTGAAAGGAATGGGCAGAGGGCTCTTTTTACTGATAAAATGGCACTGAGACATTGATAGTAGGTGTGATGAGTTCTGTATACACATGTAGAGGTTAAATTATAAATCTGAAATTATAGCACAGTGGGTACAATGTTTGCCTTGCATGTGGCCGACCCAGATTCGATTCCTCCATTCCTCTCGGAGAGCCCAGCAAGCTACTGAGAGTATCCTGCCTGCATGGAAGACCTGGCAAGCTCCCCATGGCATATTTGATATGCCAAAAACAGTAACAAATCTTACAATGGAGACGTTACTAGTGCCCGCTCAAGCAAATCCATAAACAACAGGAGGACAGTGCTACAGTGCTACATAAAATAATGATAAATCACTAAGGAAGAAAAATAAAATATGGTCATATGATGACAGAAAGACACAGGGTTGGACTAATGAATACTCTTACAAGTCAAGTAATTCCATATTGCCATCAGTAAGCCAAAACTAGAAAGAGGCAAGGAAGAATTCCTTACAGGATTTAGTGGGAATGTAGCCTTGCTGACACCTTGATTTTGGCATTTAGTGTTCAGAGTTATGAGACAATAAATATCTTCGATTTTTTTGTTTTTGTTTTGGGGTATACTTAGTGGTGCTCAGGGTTTATACCTGGCTGTATGCTCAGGAAACCATATGTGGTGTTCGGGATTGCACACAGACTGGCCACATATAAGATAAACACTTTACCCACTATACTATCTCTTTAGCCTAATAGCTGTAATTTGAAGTCATTGGGGGTTTAGTACTTTATTACATCAGACTTAGAAAACAAATACTGCTAGTGAGTGACAAATTTAGGATTTAATTACAGAGTCCCTCAACTTTCCTCACTATTCCATAAATTGCCTTCCCACATGATGAAATGTGTGTGAAAACTTGTGAGATAAGGAGTAGCCCCAAAAGAGCTTAATATTTTTCACTGAATCAGTAATAGGCATGAGAATATTCTATGTTAGATGAGCCTGGTCTGGTGCCAGAAGTTATTTGTCAAAGGAGAGGATTAAATTTTCTTTCAGGGATATGGTTTTCCCTATGGATTATCAAAATCTATGAAGTATTATAATCAGTGACAACGTTGGGTGAGGATGACACAGCAGGGTCTGCGATGTGAGCATTTTGTCAAAATACTCCCACATATTTCCAATGTACAAGAAAAAAAAACATAGATCCTGACTATCTTCAGGTAGGATCCTTTACCCTCCCTTGTTCCAAAGCCCTTCACTCACCAAATTTTCATCCAGGAAAGTTTTGGTGTCATCATAGAGCCCCTTCAGACTAAATGTAACATCTATGGCATCATTTCTGCTTATAGTCTGAGAAGATAAGAAAGGAAAGAAAGGAAGGGAATGGACAAAGAGTTGTTAGTAAGCATACTGTTGGCAGGCGAATAAGATGCAGTTGTGGGTAAAGAAGCAATTTTCAAAATATAGCACAACAGGTACTTGCTTGGACACCAACCAATCAGAACTAATACCAGATGTCAACTATTCATACAGTTGAACTTGTATGTCCTATGGAGTGGAACAGCACAACTTGGTATTTGTCATCACTGGATAGCTATTTGCTCGAGCAGGCCCAGTAACGTCTCCATTGGAGACTTTGTTGTTACTGTGTTTGGCATATCGAATACATCACAGGGAGCTTGCCAGTCTCTGCCGTGCGGGCGAGATACTCTCGGCAGCTTGCCGGGCTCTCCGAGAGGAGCGGAGGAATCGAACTCGGGTCGGCCATGTTGGCTGCGTGCAAGGCAAACGCCCTACCGCTGAATAATAGGGAGACAATAAATCAGTAAAGACAGTAAATCACTGTGCTTTTTAACTTAAGCACAGTGACTTACGATTTTCTTGACAATAGTTATTGGTATAGGGAAATAAGAAATAAGCAAACCAGAGAGAAAATATTAGACCATCTGTTGCCACTAGGATAAAAATAATCTTTCCCAGGAAGATCGAGTTAAGCCCATTAATATTTTTTCTTGACCTTCTGAGTTTGAGCTCTAGGTCCTCCTTCAACTAGGATCTGACCCCAAAAGAATAGTTAACCCACATTTTAGGAGACATAAGCGGCTCTTTATTTGGGGGGTGGGGTAGTTTCCTCCTCTTAAGTAGTACTCAAGGGCCTCAGACTACAGTGCTGTTTCAGTCATGCAGTGTCAAGAATCATGAGGGTCATCTACATAGTATTTTGGGGCCTCCAGTGTCACACCGAGCCTTATTGCTGGAATGGGGGTGGACAATTTGCCCCTCTTATATCATTTGCCCACCAATAAAGTTATTTTCAACCACATCATTTAAATCTTCTAGCAAAGAGACATTTGATATTACAATTAACATTAAATATCTTGATTAGAACATATCCCCCAAGAGAAAACCCAAGGAAGCTTGAAGTTCTGGTTGAAAGGACAATTCAAGTTATACAGGATTCACTTAGGATGAGGAAGGAACAGGCAAGTTTTTCTTTACTCATTGGCAATTTCTTTCTTGAGGCCAATATAGTAAATTATTATCAAAAGAAAGGCAGTTCTTAGGTTTATAATATGCTGAGGGATTTTCCCATTAACCACCCTGGATGTATAAACAATTCAATAAAAGCATGGCTCTCCCTCCATCTCACTATATCCATCCATTTGTTGCTCTATTATTTGCCCAGTGTCTCAATACAGCCACTGGCTTCCTTTCATTCTCTTTCCTTCTTTTTTTTATTTGTAAATGGATTTCACTCCTTTCCTTAATATTCCTCTTACCTCAGTGGGAGTGCAGGAAGCTGCACCAGACTCATTGTGTTGGCTATAAAATATCTCATTCAAGATCTTAGCACTGGCATTCACAGAATCCATGAGAACATACACATATTGTTGTACCTTGTTCAGGTCAGTAAGTCTGTAATAAAGCAGGAAAAGAGTGAATCTGGAATTTTGAAGGACGTTTGGTCTAGTATGCTGGTGAGGGTTGAGATAAGGGTAAAAAAAATCCTGGGTAACTAAATTGAACTTGTTACTCCTTCTTGTTTTTCTACTCATCTCTAGGTATGTTATGTCTACCTTAGATTTTTTCTACTTTTCACTAGTTGTCACCTTTGATTGTCTAGATATTAGGCCTTTCAGGAGAGTGGGAAGCCAGAATAGAAGACAGTTAACTCCAGGAACTTTAAGGAACTCATGGTATGTAAAGAAAACACTCTCGATTCTGTTGTTCCTGGGACATCAGAACATTAAAGTTCACCTCTAGGTCTAACATTCAGGTTCTTCAGTAGCCATTAGACATAAATTAACCTCTTATCCCTACCCATCATATATCTGCTTAGTTGATTTACCTGCTGATGAGGATATCTGCTAGCTGAGCTAAGCGCTGTATTTGTGCATACTCCTCATCTGAAAGGCTGTTTTGAAGTTCTTGTAAATCCAACTGTGGTTGAGTGGCAGCTTGAATTTCAGCATGCTTGCACTCCCACTTTTGCATCGAGTTCTCAAAGTCCTGGAAATTAAGAAAGTGAGTGATCATCTTGTGAGTGGTATAGTCATTATATCAAAAACACAGACTCAACAACACTGAAAACATGAGATCTAAGCTTCAACTGGAACTTTGTAATGTGTCTGTTAAGTTGAGAGGTGGGGGTTGGGGTGGGGGCTGGAAGTGGAGATGGAATATGGGACTACTGGTGAAGGAAAGTTGACATTGGTGGAGGGATTGATGTTGAAACATTATATGCCTAAAACTATCAATAACTTCACAAATCACAGTTCTTTAATTAAAATAAAACATTTTTAAAAGAAAGTGACAGATTCTAATGTTTGCTGTTAACTATGAGACTGTGAAACATATATAACTGAGCCTTATATTTATGGGTATAGTAGGTAAATAGAAAAGAAGACCCCATCCATTCAGTCACTCCACCTACAAATGTAAGCATTTATCCATTATTTTATTCAATGTTTCTTCAACACTTGAAACTTTTAGTTGTTGCTACTATGCTGACTTGTGGGAACCAGGCTTAAAATCAGATATGTGTCTGTCTTCCAGAATCACTCATAATTTGTAAAACAGTTCAAAGCAACATATTTTGATGATTATTTAGAGTCAGATATAATTTAATTTTGAATTTTACTTCTGTCATTTACGAGTTGTGTGAATTTTAACAATTAACCTCTCTGGATCACATTTTGTTTACTTTAAAGTAGGGATAAATTTATCCAGCTTATAGGATTATTAGGAGGACATATTTGAGACACTATATGTACAGTGAACAGCACAAAAGAGACATTTGTAAATTGCACTTCACATGCTGTCTCTATGGGACCATTTAAAGGTAAGAATGGAAGAGATCCTCTAAACACTGAGTGTTCAATAATGACACTTTTCTAGCTTTGATTAGTTAGTGGAAATAATATTTGTGCATGTAATATTTAAGGAAAGTATAAAAAGCCCTATATTTATTTAGTAAATAATATCTCCTTGGAGGATATTTTTCATAAACACCTGAGGCTTTTAAATCTCTGGTCAGAAAACCTTGTCCAAAACTACAGGAAGAAGCTACTTATCTCGCTCTATTAGATACTTATTTACAAGTGTAAGTATATATCATAATGTATCAGGGAGTTTATTTATAAATACAAGTCCCTGGGAACTACATTTTTCTATATGATTTAAGAAATATGTTGTAAGACTCAGGAATGTGCAGTTTAAGAAGTACTCCTCATGACTGTAATGTAAGTGATATGTGAACCTTCTTTTGAGGATTTTACTTGGCTAGAAAATACTATTAAATAAGTGAAACCTGTGGGTTATCAGTGAAATCCCAAGATGAGTATTACCCTTCTTACCCGATCTCTTGTTAACATCTGGGCAGCATTCTTGTATCTTATCTTGATAAGGCCTGGCATCTGAACCCAGGCCTCCCCATCCACCTGCACTGGGATACCTTCATCACCATCAATAGCTATCATCACCTCATGGCACTGTCAGAGAAGAGAAGGAGAGAATAGGGAAGAAAAATGAGTTTACTATTTTTAGCAAATCCTCCGCTCACCGCCATTGGCGAAGCTTACAGCTCTCAGCTGCCCGCTGCCGCCCCCTCCCCCTGCAAGCTCTCCCTGCCCGGCGTCCACAGCAGCGGCGGCGTGTCTCGCACCCCGCTCTGTGCGGCCTGAACCCGGCCCACCCGCCACACGCGCCTCCAGCTCCTGCTCCCGTGCCTGCCACGCCCATTGGCTGGAAATTTTTCAATTTTGTTTATTGGCCACAGAAAGTCCAATCCTTCCGTGGAAACTACCAATTTCTGAGAGAAGTCTTCACCTCATTCCAACCAGGTACGGCCCACCCCCAGGGCCTGGGACTCTCTCAGCGCATGCGCAGCTAGCTCCATCTCCTAGAACAGCGGGTTTTCTCCCCTGATCTGCGTGGGCTGGGAACTGAGGCCCATCTCTCAGCAACAAAGCTGAACGTCTCGGGGTACTCTCTCCTCATTCCAACCAGGTACAGCCCGGTGCCCAGCGCCAGGGACCCTTTCCAGAGCTGCGGCCGCATTAGTGGACGCGAAATATTCTCCTGCTACTTATGCCATAGGAACCATAAGCTACCCTCTTTGAAGGAGCCTTCTCTATTTTAGATCAGCCACTAGAAACACAGTAGCCAATAACTCATAAGCCTATCTCATCTCACACTGCATTTCAAGGAGAATAGTAACAGTGAACTTGAAGGACTTAACCACACTGGTGACAATGGTGAAGCAACACAAAAGCCCACCAAACTTTCTTATTGAAGAGGCTAGCCCAGAAAACACCAAAAGTACTGTAGTGTTAGACAAACTCTCTGACAAGGAATTCAGAAGGGAGCTACTTAGGATGCTTAGGGAACTAAGAAAAACAATGGAAAGCAATGCCAATAAAAGTCAAGAGGATTTGAAGGCAGAAATGAGGAAAATACAATTGGAAATGTCAGAGTAACAGCTGCTGAGAACAGAATCAGTGAACTTGAAGATGAAGTTCAGAGACTCTCCAGAAAAGAGCAGAAACTGGAAAGGAGACTCACTATTCGAGAACAGATGGCAAGAGAAGATAGTAATGAACCCAAGAGGGGTAACGTAAGAATTATTGGAGTCCCAGAGAGACAGGAAGAAAACCTTGATGAAGAAGAAACTGTCAAAGACATCATTGCTACAACGTTTCCAGAGCTGAAGAAAACTTGTGACCACATTCAGGAGGCCCGAAGAGTACCAGCTAGAAGAAATCCGAATAAAAATACCCCAAGACACATCCTGATCAAAGTGACCAAAACTTTAGACAGAGACAAAATTCTGAAAGCAGCAAGATCGAAGAAAGAAATCTCTTACAAAGGAGCATCCTTAAAATTCACAGCTGATTTTTCTGATAAAACCCTCATGGCCCGAAAACAGTGGTGGGACATAGTGAAAAAGCTCAACGAAATAGATGCCTCTCCAAAAATACTTTATCCAGCGAGACTCTCATTCATATCAGAAGGAACAACACACAGTTTCACAGACAAACAACAGCTCAGGAACTTCATAGACTCAAAACCATGGATACAAGAACAATTAAATGGACTACGTTAAGGCAAGACAGGCCCCTCAAATACACCAAATTTCAACAGAAAATGGTCAAAATCCCATAACAATAATCTCTCTCAATGTCAATGGGCTAAACCCACCAATTAAAAGACATAGGGTGGCAGGATGGATTAGAAAATTGAACCCAAGATTCTGCTGCCTGCAAGAAACACATCTCAATAGTCAAAGCAAACACAGACTCAGAGTCAAAGGCTGGAAAACAATCCTACAGGCAAAGAGCTCCCATAAAAAAGCTGGGATAGCCATCCTAATATCAGATCACATCGATTTCAGAGAGAAGAAAGTCATGAGACAGTGAAGGCCATTTCTTTTTGATCAAAGGATCTGTAGAACAGGAAGAATTTACAATACTAAATGTATATGCACCTAATGCAAAGTACTTAAAACAACTACTCATAGATTTGGAAAAAGACATCAATAGCAAGACAATACTAGTGGGAGACTTCAACACCGCATTGTCACCTCTTGATAGATCAACCAGACTCAAGCTTAGCAAGGACATACTTCATCTGAGGGAAACAATGGAAGAAAGGGACTTAGTAGATATATACAGAACACTTCATCCTCAAAAAGCTGAATACACAATCCTCTCTATTGTGCAGGGAACATTCTCCAAGATAGACCACATTTTGAGCCACAAAACATGCCTCCATAAAATTAAGAAGATAGAGATTGTATCAACATTCTTCTCAGACCATAATGCCCTGAAATTAGAAGTAAATCACACACAAAAACAGAAAACTAAATCAAACACCTGGAAACTAAACAGTGCACTATTGAACAATGAGTGGCTTAGAAAGGAAATTAAAGAGGAAATCAAAAGATTCCTAGAAACGAATGAAAATGAGGACACGAGTTACCAAAACTATGGGACACAGCAAAAGCTGTGTTATGAGAAATGTTTATAGCTATACAAGCATTCCTCAGAAAGGAGGAGCGAGCCCAGATAAATAAACTAACCTCACAGCTTAAGAGCTTGGAGAAGGAACAACAAAAGGAGCACAACCCGAACAGGAGAAAGGAAATAACAAAACTCAGAGCAGAGATTAACGAGATGGAAACCCAAAAAACAGTCTGAAAGATCAATGAAACCAAGAGCTGGTTCTTCGAGAAAATTAACAAGATCTATAAGCCTCTAGCAAAACTCACAAAGAAAGGGAGAGAGAAAACCCTAATAAACCGAATCAGAAATGAAAAGCGGGTCATTACAACAGAAACTACAGAAATTCAAAGGATCCTCAGGGAGTACTTTGAGAAGTTTTATGCCACGGAACATCAAAAACTCGAGGAACTGTATAAATTCCTAGACTCCTACAGACTCCCAAGTCTGAACTAAGAAGACCTGGAATACATGAACAGACCTTTCACCATCAAGAAAATTGAAATGGTAATAAAATGTCTCCCCAAGCACAAAAGTCCTGGCCCGGATGGATTCACTACTGAATTCTTCCAAATCTTTAAAGAGGACTTACTCCCAATCCTCTTTAAGCTTTTCCACGAAATTGAAATATCAAAAACACTTCCGAACAGTTTCTACGAAGCAAATATCACACTGATACCAAAAGCAGACAGAGATACCACAAAGAAAGAGAACTACAGAACGATATCCCTGATGAACACAGATGCAAAGATCCTCAACAAACTACTAGCAAATAGAATCCAACTACTCATCAAAAAGATCATACACCATGACCAAGTAGGATTCATCCCAGGGATGCAAGGATGGTTTAACGTTCAGAAATCAATCAACATAATCCATCATATCAACAAAACAAAATATAAAAAGCATATGATCATATGAATAGATGCAGAGAAAGCATTTGACAAGATCCAGCACCCCTCTATGATGAAAACCCTAGCCAAAATGGGTATAGAGGGGACTTTCCTCAACATAGTTAAAGCCATCTACCACAAGCCTATAGCAAGCATCATGCTCAATGGGGAAAAACTGAGAGCCTTCCCTCTAAGATCAGTGACGAGACAAGGATGCCCACTCTCTCCACTGCTGTTCAATATAGTACTGGAAGTATTTGCAATAGCGATTAGGCAAGAAAAAAATATTAAGGGCATTCAGGTAGGAAAGAAAGAAATCAAGCTCTCACTATTCGCAGGTGATATGATACTATACTTAGAGAATCCAATAATCTCCACCAAAAAGTCCTAGAAACAATAGACTTGTATAGTAAAGCTGCAGGCTACAAAATCAATACCCAAAGGTCCATCGCTTTTATATGCAAACAGTGAGAGAGAGAAGAAAGCAACATGAAAAAAGCATTCCCGTTCACAATTGTGTCCCAGAAAATCAAGTACCTAGGAGTCAGCTTAACTAAGGAAGTAAAGGACCTGTACAAAGAAAACTACAAAACGCTACTTCACTAAATAAAAGAGGACATGAGGAAATGGAAAGATATCCCCTGCTCATGGGTCGGGAGACTTAACATTGTCAAAATGGCAACACTACCAAAAGCATTGTATAAATTCAATGCAATCCCTATAAGGATACCCATGACATTCTTCAAAGAAATGGAGCAAACACTCCTGAAATTTATATGGAACAATAAGCACCCACGAATAGCTAAAGCAATTCTTGGGAAAATGAAGATGGGAGGAATCAACCTCCCTAACTACAAACTCTACTACAAAGCAGTAATAATTAAAACAGCATGGTACTGGAACAAAGGCAGAACTGCAGACCAACGGAACAGGGTTGAATACACTGACATCTCCCCTCTATCATACGATCATCTAATCTTTGATAAAGGGGCAAGAAATGTGAGTGGAGTAAGGAAAGCCTCTTTAACAAATTGTGCTGGTATCACTGGACGGCTACATGCAAAAAAAATGGGCTCAGAACTCTGCCTAACACCATGTACAAAAGTAAGATCAAAATGGATTAAAGACCTCAACATCAGACCAGACACCATAAGGTACATTGAATACAAAGTTGGAAAAACCCTCCATGACATTGAAGCTAATGGTATCTTCAAAGATGCCACGCCACTGGCCGAGCAAGTGAAAACAGACATAGATAAATGGGACTATATTAAACTAAGAAGCTTCTGCACCTCAAAAGAAACAGTGACAAAAATACAAAGACAGTCTACAGAATGGGAAAGGATATTCGCCGAATACACATCTGAGAAGGGGTTGACATCAAGGATATACAAATTACTGGTTGAACTCCACAAGAAGAAAACATCCAACCCCATCAAAACATGGGGCAATAAAATGAACAGAAACTTTCTTAAAGAAGAAATCCGCATTGCAAAAAAGCACATGAGAAAATGCTCTACATCTTTAATCATCAGGGAGATGCAGATCAAAACCACAATGAGTTCCCATCTCAAACCTCAGAGACTGGCCCACATTCAAAAGAACAAAAGCAACCGATGCTGGTGCGGATGTGGCGAGAAAGGGACACTCCTTCACTGTTGATCGGAATGTCTACTGGTTCCGCCCTTCTGGAAAACAATATGGACGATTATCAAAAAATTAGAAATTGAGCTCCCATTTGACCCAGCAATACCACTCCTGGGAATATATCCCAGAGATGCAAAAATGTATATATGAAGTGACATCTGCACTTGTTTGTTCATTGCAGCACTCTTTACAATAGCCAGAAACTGGAAGAAACCTGAATGCCCAAGAACAGATGACTGGTTAAAGAAACTTTGGTTCATCTACACATGGAATAATATGTAGCTGTTAGAAAAGATGAAGTCATGAAATTGACGTACAAGTGGTACAACATGGAAAGTATCATGCTAAGCGAAATGAGTCAGAAAAAGAGTGATGGACATAGAAATATTGCATTCATTTGGGGGATATAAAGTAACAAAATATGAGATTAATACCCAAGAAAATATGAGATCTGCACCAGGAGGATTACTCCATAGCTTAGAGGCCAGCCCGGCATTCTAGGGGAAAGGGCAGCTCAGATAGAGATGGGAGCACCAAATAAAGGGTGTTTGGAGGATCTTCCCAGGAAGGGAGATGCATGTTGAAAATAGACTATGTACTGAACATGTTTGCCACCCAATGCCTGTTTTGCAGACCACAACACCCAAAAGGAGAGAGAGAACACAAGGGATTGCCCTGCCACAGAAGCAGGGTGGGATGGCGGGGATGGGGGTGGGAGGGATATTATCCATGGTGGTGGAAAATGGGCACTGGTGGAGGGATGGGAATTTGATCATTGTATAATCAAAACCCAAGCACAGAAAATTGTAAATCTACAACTGTACTTCATAGTGTTTCACTAATAAAAAAATTAGTTTACTAAAATAGACAAATTTGATAATTTCCAGTTATGACTTGAATGTGTATCTGAATGTGTATCTGAAGCAGAATTGGCATTAATGTGATTCAGATTGTTCTAGAGATGGCTTATTTTCTTTGGGATTTTTTGTTTGTTTCTTTAATCTCTATTGCTCCTGTCCCTAACTTTAGTAAGCACCTTAATGGCCACCTGATAACTTGCTCTTACAACCCATGATGTAACTTTTATACCCAGTTCACTTATGGTACTACCTCATATTGTGAGTTATATCTGCCCAGTTCCTTTCTGATCCTTTGCCAGCCCCAGCCTACCTGGGCGATGCGATGATGATGTAGATTGATGATGCGTGACATTGCCATCTGCATGGAGCCAAATATTGCCACTACCTCCAGCTTCCCATCATCTATGGCAGGAGCTTCATATTCCTGAGTAGGAATAAATGTGTCACATCTTCCTCTCTTGAGAAATCACACATTATCTATCATAAGTGGGTATGCTTTTGAAAGCTACTAGTGAGAATTTTTTTTCAGTTAACCAAGAGTGGGAAAAAGGAATCATGATCACAACTCTTAATCCCTTTTGTGATCCAAACTTTTAGCTAGTTCTATACATTTCCAGTCTCACATAATTCTCCAAAGTCAGTCCCATTAGTCTCATAGCCATGTTGTGGGAGCTACAAGGAAAATATAATGACTAATTTCCCAGCTTTTATTGGCAGGTCTCTTTGGATAAAAGAGCATAGTCTGGGTAAACTTTCAAGGTTATGTTACAGCTTGAGACATAGGAAATTCAAAGTCCAATCAATAACTAATAAATGATCTAATCCTAAACTCTGGGATGATTATCTTAAAGAGATATTACAGCTTTTGACAACTAGAAAAGGTTCCCAGTCATCTGTTCTTGGGCATTTCTCTTATTGCCCATTTCCAATTTCAGTCAGTTAATCTATACTTTCCGAAATACCTCAGAGTCAATATTGCCTTTTCCCTCTTTTTTTCTCATTCTATACTTACTGTGGTAGCTGTGCTGCTTCCCCAGAAATTTATACCTCCAGCATAGCTGGTAATGTTGAGCACTACAATGCCTTGCAGGTTTGGCAAGTAAATGGCTTCTCCATCACACTGAAAGAAAAGAATAGCTTTCATTGGCTAACTTTTTAATCACCAGTTGGAAGGTACTTTTACTAAAATGTGAGAACTATCTTTTCTTCTTTTATCACTATATTATACATAAAATAGGGATTTCTCTTCATGCTTTCCTTCCATGAGCTACGTGTGAGTATCGTAAAGCTAGGGGAAAGTTCATTCATGAGGCCATAAGATTTTTGTCTACTCCAAAGAAGGACTATTATCCTTTTTATTTTTTTTAAATTTTTAGTGAAACACTGTAATACAGAATTACAGATTTACACACTTTCATTATTACATTTCAGTCACACAATGGTCGAGTACCCATCCCTCCACCAGTTCCATTCTCCACCACCAATGTTCCCAGTATCTCTCCTGAAACCCCCACCCCATCCCCACCCCCTGCCTCTGTGGGAGGCACATTCACTTTTACTCTCTCTCTCCTTTTGGGTGTTATGGCTTGAAATACAGTTAGTAAGTGGCCATCATGTTCTGTCTATAGTCTTCTTTCAGCAAGCATCTCCCATCCCGAGCGAGGCCTCCAAGCATCCTTTGCTTGGTGGTCCCTTCTCTATCTCAGTGCCTTTTCCCCCAGCATGTGAGGCTGGCTTCCAAGCCGTGGAGGAATCCTCCTGGCCCTTGTCTCTACTATCCTTGAGTGTTAGTCTCCCATTCTACTACTTTATATTCTAGAAATGAGTGCAATCTTTCTATGTCTGTCCCTCTCTTTCTGACTCATTTCACTTTAACATGATACTTTCCATGTTGATACACTTATATGCAAATTTCATGACTTCATCATTTCTAACAGCTGCATAATATTCCATTGTGTAGATGTACCAGAGTTTCTATAACCACTCATCTGTTCTAGGGAACAACAGCCAAAGACAAAATCAGAGAGCTTGAAGATGAACTGAGACTATTATCTTCTATACTAACCTCCAGGTGCACTCGTTCCTCTAGTTTCCTGTAAGAGCGCTGGAAAATTTCCTTGCTTCCCAGTAGCCCATACCACATCTTATTCTTGAGGCGGTTACTTCAGGAAGTAATGATAAAGTAAAGTAGTTAGAAACACTTAAAGGAAAATGTATAAGCAGTAATAAGAGAGACACCATAGTATTCCTCAAGTGCTGTATTATAGAGAGGAGTCATTGAATGATAACTGACCACAAGAGGGAATGTTAATACGTAACTGCTATTCCCTGAAAACACCTGCTGAAACAGATTCCTGAATCACCATTAAAATATAAGCACCATGTTTGTTGGTAGTTAAATATGCTACTTTTACTTGCTGTTGATTATGTTTTTAGATTGGCAGGGAAATGCTTTACTCAAAAGCAATGCTTATAAAAGCTAAGAGAATAAACTGGCTTGTACATACTAACTACCCTGGAAAGTACCATTCCAGAAACACAGTATTTCAGCTGCTTTTAATAAGTTTCATTTGAAACATATAATTAAGCCTGTAATTTATTTAAAAGATAAATTTCTGGAAAATTATTTTCCAAGTTATATTAAACAGTTATCTACGCTTTACAGAGTCATCACAAACAGGTCAACATTTAGGGAAAACTGTTTCACTCATGTGAAGAATGTGAATTATTAGTGTAACAATACTTGCAACAAACAACAAAACATATTCATCCAGTGAAAACTATGGTGGTTTCTTGAGGAAAAGTGAGTGGGGTGAGCAGAATGAGAAGGAGTTTCTTTGGTGGTAGGAGCGCAGTGGAGTTCCTTTGGTGTTGGAAATTGCATACATTGTTTAATTTGTGTATATTTGTGTTCATATAGACAGGTATGGAGCTAATTCCATGAATATGCATAGTATTGTTGATTAATGATGAATCACTGCAGCACTGCACTGTCTTTCCGTTGTTCATCGATTTGCTCGAGAGGGCACCAGTGACGTCTCACAACAAATTGTTACTGTTTCTGGCATATCGAATACGTCATGGGTAGCTTGCCAGACTTTGTTGTGTGGGCGAGATACTCTCGGTAGCTTGCCAGGCTCTCCGAGAGGGGAAGAGGAATCGAACCTGGGTCGATCATGAATCAATGAAATTGTATTTAATCTGAACTTAAATTAGCTCTATAACTTGATACTTTCATTTCATTTCATTTCATCATCCTGTTATTCGTCGATTGCCTCGAGCAGGCCCCAGTAACGTCTCTTTCATCCTAGCCCTGAGATTATATTCAAGGCTATTTAGGAGAATGAGACCCATCATTGTTACTGGTATTTGGCATATTTGGTACGCCACAGGGAGTTTGCCAGACTCTGCCCTGTGGGCAGGCTACATTCGATAGCCTGCAAGTTTGTCCAAAGTAGGAATAAGACAATAAGATGTCATAAAAAAAGTTCTGTTAAGATGTCGCGCGGCCACAAATGCGGCCGCGGGGTTCCGGGATCTGGATTTTATAGTCTCTGAGTCTTGGCCGCTGATGGGATTACACGGCGCCAGGGGGCCAGTTGGTGGGTGTGACCCCCGCCTACTGGAATTTGGAGGATCTGGGTGGAAGATGCTCGACTCCAATTCGAGTAGGCTTGGAGGTCTCGGCCCCGGAACCCGCGTGGCTTTGTCCCTGTGCCAGTACCTTCATGTGTGCGGAGAGTGGTCTCAGCATGGTGGTGGCTGGTCCTGGAGGTCTTCGGCTGCCCTAGCCCTGGTCGGGGCGGGGAGGAAAGCTCAACCCGCTCCCCTCCAAGGGACTCCGGGAAGGAACACCCAGGCGCGGGGGCAGAGAACAGTGCAGTCTCTGCCCCCGCGCCTGGGTGTTCCTTCCCGGAGTCCCTTGGAGGGGAGCGGGTTGAGCTTTCCTCCCCGCCCTGGCCAGGACCCCGGCAGCCGAAGACCTCCAGGACCAGCCACCACCATGCTGAGACCACTCTCCGCACACATGAAGGTACTGGCACAGGGACAAAGCCACGCGGGTTCCGGGGCCGAGACCTCCAAGCCTACTCGAATTGGAGTCGAGCATCTTCCACCCAGATCCTCCAAATTCCAGTAGGCGGGGGTCACACCCACCACCTGGCCCCCTGGCGCCGTGTAATCCCATCAGCGGCCAAGACTCAGAGACTATAAAATCCAGATCCCGAACTTGATACTTATCAAAACAAAATAACGAAAATTAAGGCCAATCTTTATACTGATGCAGTTTACCTCCAAAGAACCTCTTATTTTCTGTTTCTTGCTGAGCAATAGGGATATTGGGAATAGCTTCATGTATTATGGTTGTATGTTTGCATGTTGGCAGGGGAATATTATCTCCTTACTTGTATTGATCTGGGTGTTCATCTCTTCTGGTGTTGAACTCCAGAGAAATTTTAGCATCCAATCCAATTCCAAAATAGTTATTCATGACACATCTTTCTTTGAAGCGTCTGGGTTTAACCAAAGGAAAGAGGATAGATATTGGTACAGGGAAGAAGTGCTGCTATCATTAGACTTAAACACTCTAATTAAATATTCAAAACCACTGTTGGGTGCAAGTAATTATGATGTTCTTGGAGATAACTGTGAATGCCCTATTGTATTAAAACCAATTAGTTAGCTATAAAATAGTACATACAATCAGGTGGGAGGACTCAAATAGAATTGGAACTCAATATATAAGCCATTTTCAGACTATCAGATATCAGTGGCTAATATTTTCTTCACATATAATAAAGTAAAATAGAAGTCTTCCTATAAATAATGTTTGAATATCTCAGATGAAAATGTATAATGTGGGCTGGAGCGATAATACAGAGGGTAGGGCATTTGCCTTGCACGCAGCCAACCCTGGTTCTATCCCCAGCCTCCCATATAGTTCCCCAAGCACCTCCAGGAGTAATCCCTGAGTGCAAAACCAGGAGTAACCCCTGAGTATCCCTGGGTGTGACCCAAAAAGAAAAAAATGTATAATCTGTGGGATGAGAAGTTGGTTCCAACTGCACACAGTTGGTGTGAACATGACCCTGGATTGATCTCTGCTACCACATGACCTATTGAGTACCACTGTATATAGTCCTGGTGGCCCTCAGCAACTGTTGAGGAGATCCCCAAACAAAATATATAGTATGTATAAATTCAGCCGTACTGTTTCAACAATGTCTGAAGTTATTTTTAGCATAAGTCATATACTTGGTAACAAAGACAAATAAAAGAGGTTGTATATATGTATATGTATGTATACATACATATATGCACATATATACTGAAAGCTAAGCATCCGTCTTGGGTACTTACACTAAAATGAGTGATGTGTAAGAGCTAATTTTTGCTAGCTCATGTAAGACTATTTCTATTTATACCTTTCACTTCCTAACTAAGCTTTCACTATCAGTATATTAGTGACTTGAAATAAACCACAATAGATTTACACCATGAATAAATCAGAGTTACCCAAGAGCTAGTTGTTAAACATTTGCCAGCACACCACTGAGCAAAAATCATTAGGTAGGTCCATGAGACCTCAGGCATGAGCTTAAGTCAATGGTAAAGTAGAAGGGAATGGGAGTTGAAAAACGGATTAAATGGGAAGCTGTATATATAAATATATATATATATACACAAATATATATATTTGTGTTTCCTTCTGAGAAACTAAAAATTGGTACAGTTTAATTTCTCAATCATATATATGGATATACATATTTAAATTTGCTATTAAAATTATCCTATATTGTTCACACAAGATTTGCTTTCTTTAATTGTAGAGTACAGAAATTTAAGTTTCTGTGACTGATGCCCAAACTGATTTCCTTAATGGAATTTAAAATGAGTAAATGCTTAAGAACTCTGCTTCTGGGGATATTCTAAAATGGAAGGACTGTAAAACAGATACTTTTAGACTTGCCACCTAATTCTCTGAATGTTCATTTATTATTTTTCAGCATATCTAATCATTTGCTCTTAAAGGAAAGAGTGAAAAACAGTCTTTGGATATAATAGCTAATATTTATTAAGTGCTTATAGTAATGATAATGATTGTTAACACATATATCACTTAAATGCATCCCAAGTACAGCCCAATGCAAGTACTTTTCATATACAAACTGAATAAATGCAACAAACGTATGTGGTAAGTTCAATGATCTCAGTTTATATGTAAGTAAACTGAGGCTCTGAATGGTTGAATTTGTTATGTAAGGTCACACAACTAGGAAATAGGTCAAGGTTTTACTATGGGTATTCATAGGTTCTGCTTTTGACCATAGAAAAGAAGAAGTCATAAAAAGTGACAAGGGTATATACATACATAGTTTCAGGTTTGAGATGTAAATACTCCAAATTGAGATGTTCTAAGTCTTCATTTTTGAGAGAAGATATAGAAGCCAAAGCACCACGTTGAGAACCTTGACAAAAAAAAGGTTATGTTTTTGTGATGTTATTGTGATGTTAGATGCAAGCATGAAATCCCTTTCCTCCTACTTGTATTTCACCCCATTATCTCTGTGAGAGTAGGGTCAAGTTCAATGATATTTTCCTAGATGACATTCATAGTGATGTTCCAAAGAGTTACCATCTTGGATTGGCCTGGGACTTTCTTGGAGAACAGTAAGACTGGATTGCTTGCTTGATTGTGGTGAAAACAGCTTTAAATTATGGGATTCACTAGTAGTTAATTTTTCAAGGTTCCTAATGGCATCATTAGTTCTGGACATTTGGAAGACTCTATGTTGGAAACATGTTGGAAATATTAGCAAGATTTTTATATATATATATTTCACACTGTAAGTTTGAGGTTTGGGGAAATGAGGTAGGGATATCTACAGAAGTGTCAGATTAAGGGTAAAATAAACACATGAAAACACACTTTTATCCTCTGGGAACTGGAAAACAGTGATGAAAACTAGTATAATAAAATAAGACAAAGGTCCTTACGTGTTCTTGGGCTCATCTGGCTAATATCTTCGGAGTCATCTTCAAGGCAGAAAGCTGAACTAAAGTTCTTAACTGAAATGGTCTGTCGACTTTGTTCATCTAGAACTGCAGAGAGAAAGGGCAAGAAAGAAAGGAAGGGAAGAAGGCAGGAGACAAGGTAATGAGGGCAGGAAAAGAGGGAGGGTTAGTCACTTAATTGAGCATTTCTTCTTTTGTTTGTCATGCAGAACGTGGGTAGGCAATGAAGACTCCGATTTTATCATTATGCTTCCTCATAGCATTGCTGCCAAGTCTTTATATTCATTGAAGAACTTTCTCTATTTTACTGTTTTGTTTTTCTTCCGCCACCCAGTAAATGTGGTTTCTTTTTTAATTTTTTTTTATGTAGGAGTACTGCTATTTATTCAGCCACTGATTAGTAAATGTACTTTTAAGTAGAAGCTCAGGGTCTGTGGCAGCGGAACAGGGTAGAAAACATTCTCTGATACTGAGATCCTAGTTTCTTTGTTAATTCATCCTCGTAGAAGAATTTTGTCCCAAATTTGAGTCTAGGATCATGCTGCATTTTTACTCAAATCTCACCAATATGCAGAATATTTAATATCTCCATTTCACCAGCCAATATGTTTTATAGGTCAGGTGTACAGCTTGTACCCAAGTTCATTCAATCCCTACCTTACTAGGTCTGATGTATGCAGCCTATTTGTCATGCAACCACAAACTGTACCTGTAAAACTAACTCATGTGTTTATGCAACACGCTGAGTTGGATTTGGGTACATCTGATTAATATGACCCTCAATGCTTTCAAACTAAGAAATAGAGGCAAAATATTTAATATTTAGTGTACAGAAATATTTTCTTTCTTTATTGGAAACTTGACTGAGTTTTTATTTTAGATACTAGGTCTGGATACTAAGTTAGAGGCATGCCAAAGGGACTTCTTGCTACATGGATTTTTGCCCAATTCCATAGTTCAAATAAAATGTATGTGGTCTTACAAACATATACTTGATATGTTTCTTGAACAATTCACAAAACAATTCCTTAGTTCAAATAAAATATGTGTGGTCTTACTAACATATATGTGACATATTTCTCAAAGAAATATGGAAGAAGTGGGAACCCAAATATTCATAAGTTGGGTGAGATAAAAGAGGTTTTCATAATGAGTTGGAAGTTTGCAGAGTGCCATGGCTTGTGGTAAATGCAAGCAAGGACTGACCTGGCACAGCCATTCTCAGGGCCCCTGCACTTGGTTAATATTGTGAACAACATGCAGAGATGAACAATGTTCTTTTTCTATAATAGTTGCAGGCTTGATGGTTGTAAGAAAACAGAAGCAGGTATAAAAATTTCATGTTTGGTGGTGGAAGCTTACAAAAATTTGAGCTAGGCCACTTAGCAGCTACAATAGTTTAAGATGAATGTTAGTTCTAAAAATAAATAACTAGCAACAACTGAGTACCTAGAAGGTAAGAGGAATCAAACAAACAAACACTGTCCTCCTGTTGTTCATCGATTTGCTCAAGCGGGCCCAGTAATGTCTTGTCTCCATTTTGAGACTCCACATATTCCCACATATGTGTTTCACATATTTAATATGACGGGTAGCTTGCTGTGAGGGCGAGATACTCTCAGTAGCTTGCTGGGCTCTCCAAGAGGGGCGGAGGAACCGAACCTGGCTCAGCCGGGCTGGCTGCGCACAAGGCAAACACCCTACCACTGTGTTATCATCATAGAATATGTTTATTAGTACTGAGACTTTTCAGAGACGCAGTCTAATTGTTGTCTTTGAGTGCTCTAAGAAGATAGAATCTAGTCAACTTTTGGTAATAGAGTCAAATAGAAAACACAGAGCAAGGGAGACCTGTACAGAAACCAGTGCAATTGCCTTCTTTACTCTACCTCAATCATTCTGGCAGCCTTACCTTGTTCAACTTGGAATACGATGAGTTTCAAGGATTTCTGGAGGTTCTGGGCCTTTGTCGCCAGCTCCAGCTTGCATTTGTTCGTGTGGTCTATTTGAGGTATGAAGGGCTTCCCACCTGCTTTGCTGATCACTGCACCTACTTTAACACACTCAACTGATCCCTCCTCAGTAAGGATATCAATAAGGACACTGAGCTTGTCATACATGATGTCACTCTATTTGGGGAGAGAGGAGACAAGAAATTGTCATGAAGCACCTGCCTGGATAGGAGAAAATTAGAAGCTGTGGTGATATAGGGAGGAGTGAGGAGCGATGTCAATTGACCAGAAATATTAACCACTGACATTTACATGTGGAAGATGAAAGTTTGGGGAAACTTCAAAGGGGTCAAACAAATATTATTTATTTCCAAGAAGCTATAGACATCAACATAAGTCACCAATTCTTTCTTCTGTTCAGAGTGTTTCGTAAAGTGAAAACTTGAGGTAAGATAAATATTTATGGACTTAGAATTTTCACGAAGAGATTAATTTCTTTTTTGGGGGGGAGGGGTGCATACCTAACTTGAGGTTGCATAGTGTCATTCTTCATTTGGTGAAAGATGGGTTTGATGAGGTTGAACTTTCCTCATCAGAGAGAGTTACCAACTATCCTCATTATTTTAATTTATAATTTTCAACAAGAACCACATTTGACTTTATTTAAAAGGTGGTCCTAGATCCACAGTATAAAACAGAATAAATGGAAACTCACTTTCAAAATAACAGACTCTATTGCTGTATTGTTCTGTTTTATTCTACTCCAGGCCTTTACAATATCAAGCATGAAATCTTCTACAGCTGAGCACAGGAATCTGGAAACATAATATAAATGGCAAAGTGTGATATGGGCCATGAGACTCAGAGCTCATCCCTCTAATTATATCATTAGTTTCCATCTTCTTTCTCTTCTCTGTCTTTCTTTCCTGATATCCACTCCTTTCCTCCCTGTCCTTAACCCTTCTCCATTTTTAGCTTTTTTATGCTTCTTTATGTTTATATGGTAAAACACATAAGTGCCTAAGGAATTTAACTAAGATTCCTTAGTCCTAATTTTGAATTTTTAGAAAAGAGAATTTAAACCATGTTGTTTCAGGTTCTCATCCCAAGTAAAATCAGCTATGCTTAAAAAGTTCATTTAGTTTGCTGTAAGCCTAATGACATTTGGAAGCATGTTTCCTGAAGAAGAGTGTGGTAGACTTGGCAGGAACTTCCTCATAAAGTCTCAGGAGTAATAAATGACCCACACATTTAAAGGGGGATAATGTGTTGCTAAGATTGTGAAAAAGCACCAGAACAGGTACTGTAGTCACCTTTCCTCCTGTCAGCTGGAAAGCAATTTGTCCCAATGCAGATAGCCTACATGCAGATATACTATGCTCTTGGACATATGAAGTGTTATTTCCATTCAGTCACTTCTCTGTGCTTTTTTGGTGGTGGTGGTAGGGAAGCAGGAGGCATTTGAGCCACACTGGCAGTACTCAGGGATTACTCCTGATGTTGCTCAAGAAACTGTTGGCAGTGTCAAAGATCAAGCTCAAGTCAATTGCATGGAAGGCAAGCACGCGACACTTTGCTATCACTCCAGTCTCCTTCAGTAACCATTCTTTCGAAGTTCTGGATTGCAGTTTGTGTTTTTGAAGTAGTACTTGTTCTTGCCCTAATATTTTCTTCCTTTTCCTAAACTTTCTAGTTAGTATGCTTGAGTTGAGATGAGTCGATTCATAAGGTCAACATAAACTTTTCTTGGCTCTAGTACCAAATCTATCAATGCAAGCCCTCCCACCTCTGACCTGTAACAGTCTACAAGTTGTGTTTTTATATGTCCAAGTTTGAGAACAGATGAAGACTGACCTCGCTGCAATGACTATCTCTGTGGGGTACTTGGCTCTCAGGATTTTGTTCAACTCAGTGTTTGCAGACTCTAAGTTCCGGATGGCAGCAGCCTAGGAAGAAAAGCAGTGATAGCAGTGATTAGCCCTATAATATCAGCACTGTGACATAGTATACTGCCCATTCTCATTGCAACATTTCATACTGACTTTTTTACAGCAGTTCAACTGCCTTTCTGGAAATAATCGCAGTTAAATAATATTGAAGATTCTCATAGATAATCTTCTATCTTTGACCATTCAAATACGAGATACATATTATTTTCCTTTTCTTTACATTGATACTTAAAAACTAATTTAAGAAAGTACTCTTCGTTCCATATTTCAATTGAACAAACAAGTTCATATTATGTAACTTGCAGGTAATAGACCTAGGATTAAAACCCAGATATTTCCAAGTTGAGTGTCACCTCTCATATAAAATATTATTAATAACAATAGCACTGTAGTGGGCTAGAGCTATAGCACAGTGGTAGGGCGTTTGCCTTGCATGCAGCCGGCCTGACTGAGCTAGGTTCGCTTCCTCCGCCCCTCTCAGAGAGCCTGGCAAGCTAACGAGAGAATCTCGCCCGCACAGCAAAGCTTGGCAAGCTACCCATGACGTATTCAATATGCCAAAAACAGTAACAACAAGTCCCACAATGGAGACATTACTGGTGCCTGCTCGAGCAAATCGATGAACAATGGGAGGACAGTGCTACAGTGCTACAGAGCTACAGTATTGTCTCCATTGTGGGACTTGTTACTGTTTTTGGCATATTGAATACGTCACGGGTAGCTTGCCAGGCTTTGCTGTGCGGGTGGGATACTCTTGGTAGCTTGCCAGGCTCTCCGAGAGGGACAGAGGAATCAAACATGGGTTGGCCACGTGCAAGGCAAACGCTCTACCTGCTGTGCTATCACTCCAGCCCTATTAATAATGATAGAACCAACTAATATAGCACTTGCTAAGTATCAAGCTGTTCAAAATTATGCATTTTTTCTCTGTGTAATCCTCATAACAACCTTATGACATAAGGATTCTTATTCTGATTTCACAGAACAGAGAACTAAGATACAGAAAATGTGGAGCTAAGAAGTGCAGAGAAGGGATTCAATTATAGACACTATGAATCTTGAATATGAATTATTTTATTAAATTTTTAAATCATTATTTTAAAAATTATTTTATTTTTCATTTTTTAAAATAATATAGAAGTACTGCTATTTGTTCAGCAATTGATTAAGCTGGTTGAATTGGGCATGAACGCCACATTACTTTTTTATTTTATTGTATCACCATGAGATAGAGTTACAAAGCTTTCATGTTTGAGATTCAGCCATACAATGATGGAATACCCATCCCTCCACCAGTGCACATTTTACACCACCGATGTCCCAAGTACCCCCCCCCCCCACACACACGCATCCCAGTCCTCACTCTGCCTCTATGGGAGACAATTTCCCCAATACTCTCGCTCTAATTTGGGGCATTATGTTTTGTTCAAATTTTCCCATCACCATTCAAGCCTACCTGCCAAGGGCAGACGCTAAATAATATATTTTCCATAGCTCATGAGAGCTCACGCAGCAGCAATTGTAGGTGTAAATTTCTAGATTGTAAATGGTTGGGTTCCAGAGACATCTCTGTATGGCACTAAACCATTTTGCAATTAAATTGGGACTCTCTGGCATCTCTGAGTCAGGTCTGTTGGTGCACTAAGATGACATCTGGAGGCAAATTGTGGGCATGCCAGTCAGTCTTTTGGGTGGGTGGGGACCCAGGGAGGGACAGGACCTGGGTCCTCTGCCACCATGCGGCCTGGAGATTTAGTCCTGAACCCAAACACCTGGGCCTTGCTTGTGGAAGCTCTTGGTCATTGAGATTCTATCTGGAGTAGGCGGGGAGACTACACCTGCTCCATCTGGGGTGCCGCAGTAATATTGGCTCGGTATGGAGCCCAGAGGGATCTCTGGCACTGGGGTGTCTTCCAGGACTTGCCTCTGTGTCTCTGGGACAGGGCAATTGGTATGGTAAGATTCACATTACAAAATTTTAAGCAGATTATATCTTGGTGAGGTCCATCCTGACGGCCTGGGGTATGGCGGCAATTTTGGATTGTGGAAACAAGTGGCTGCCAGGGACTCTGCTTGGGCAGGCACGAGACAATCCGCCCCCTTCAATTTACTTTGGTCAGCCATGTATGGGTCCTAGCATAACTGCAGCTTTTGATCTCTTTCAAGATTTATTTAGGGGTCTCTGAAGCAAGGCCTGTAGTAGAGCTTACAGGATGGTGCTGGAGTTGGTTAGTGGGGGTGACTGCCAGTGTGTGTTGGGAATTGGGGGAGAAAGCCCATACCAACTCTGAGAAAATCTGGAGATTTCCATCACAAAACCTGCAAACCAAAGCTTCTGCACCTCAAAAAAAAAACAGTGACCAAAATACAAAGACAGTCTACAGAATGGGAAAGGATATTTGCCGACTATACATCCGACAAGGGGTCGATATCAAGGATATACAAAGAACTGGTTGAACTCCACAAGAAGAAAACATCCAACCCAACAAAAAATGGGGTGATGAAATGAACAGAAACTTCCTCAAAGAAGAAATCCGAATGGCTAAAAGGCACATGAGAAAATGCTCTACATCATTAATCATCAGGGAGATGTAGATCAAAACCACAATGAGATATCATTTCACACCACAGAGACTGGCCCACATCCAAAAGACCAAAAAAGCAACCAGTGTTGGCATGGATGTGGCGAGAAAGGGACTCTCCTTCACTGCTGGTGGGAATGCCGACTGGTTCATCCTATTGGAAAACAGTATGGACGATCCTCAAAAAATTAGAAATTGAGTTCCCATTTGACCCAGCAATTCCACTCCTGGGAATATATCTCAGAGAGGCAAAAAAGTATAGTTGAAGTGACACCTGCACTTGTCTGTTCATTGCAGCACTGTTTACAATAACTAGAATCTGGAAAAACCCTGAGTGCCTGAGAAAAGATGACTGGTTAAAGAAACTTTGGTACATCTACACAATGGAGTACTATGCAGCTGTTAGAAAAGATGAAGTCATGAAATTCATATATAAGTGGTACTACATGGAAAGTATCATGCTAAGCGAAATGAGTAAGAAAGAGAGGGACAGATATAGAAAGATTGCATTCATCTGGGGAACATAAAATAACAAAATAGGAAACTAACACCCAAGAATAGCTGAGATAAGTATCAGGAGGATTACTCCATGGCTTTGAGGCCAGCTGCACATGCAAGGGGAGAAGGCAGCTCAGATAGAGAAGGGAGCACCAGATAAAGGGTGTTGGGAGGTTCCTCTCACGATGGGAGATGCATGATGAGAGTAGACTATAGACTGAACATGATTGCCACTCAATGTCTCTTTTGCAAACCACAGCACTCAAAAGGAGAGAGACAACAAAATGGAATGCCCTGCCAACGAGGTAGGGTGGGATGGGGGGAATGGGGGGTGGGAGGGATACTGGGATCAGTGGTGGTGCAGAATGGGCACTGGTGGAGGGATGGGTATTCGATCATTGTATAACTGAAACTCAAGCACAAAAATTTGTAAGTCTACAACTGTACCTCATGGTGTTTAACTAATAGTTTCGCTAATAAAAATTTAAGGGAAAAAAACCCTGCAAACCAGAATTTTCAGCAGATTATATCTTGGTGAGTTCTTGGTGGGCCACTAGGCAAACCTACCCCCCTTCAATTTACCCCGTATGCTCAGCCATGCACGGGTCCGAGATTAATTGTGGGTTTTAATCTTTTTTGAGATTTAACTATGGGTCTCTGAAATAAGACCAATAAATGAGATTGTATAGCTGAGCCAGAGGCAGTTTGTGGGTGTATCTCCCACATACCTAACTTTTGGCCTTTAGTTTCTTGGTAAAATTGGTCCCAAGTTGTTGGGATCTGACCAAAGGCACAGCGGCAATTTGGGGGGTTTCAGGAAACCTGAAGGCATCATCAGGCTGCTGATGCACTTGCCCTACAGGTACAGGTTGACCTGTTGGCGGCACCATACACCCAGTATATGTATCTTAACTATTGTCTGTTTGTCCTCCTCCTTGGACTGGAGCATTAGCACAATGGGTAGGGCGTTTGCCTTACACACAGCCAACCAGGGTTCGATTCCTCCATCCGTCTTGGAGAGCCGGGCAAGCTACTGAGAGTATCTCACCTGCACGGCAAAGCCTGGCCAGCTACCCATGACATATTCGATATGACAACACAGTAACAACAAGTCTCGCAATGGAGACGTTACTGGTGTCCACTCGAGCAAATCAATGAAAACGGGAGGACAGTGCTACCGTGCTATCCACCTCCTTTATCTATTAAAATATATTCAAATACCAATTCCATATTACTTTAACTCTGTGATGTTTTCAATGTGTACTTTTCTTTTTACCCCAATTACTACTCCACCAGTCCAAATCACCACAATTTTAATTTAATTTAATTTTTGAACCTTGCAAGTGATACTCAGGTGATTCCAAGACCTTACCAGTGATTCTTGGCTAATTGAGCCATAAGTTCAGTGGAAGGGCCTGAGGGTACTGTGCTGCTCAGGCCCTAATGTACTGGGTATATTGGGACCACCCAAGGACTGCTGGGGCCTCCAGGGACACACTAGGCAGTGCTGAGGGGCCTCCAGAGTCTTGAAAATCCCAGGAAATCACAGAATGCTTAGAACTGAACCCAGGTCAGGTGCACGCTCTACATGCACTTTATTTTTATTTATTTTTTGCATTGATTTTTTATTTTTATTTTTTATTAGTGAAACACCATGAGGTACAGTTGTAGACTTACAAATTTTTGTTCTTGGGTTTCCGTTGTACAATGATCGAGTACCCATCCCTCCACCAGTGCCCATTTTCCACCACCATGGATCCCAGTACCCCTCCCACCCCCCTTATCCCCCCATCCCACCCTGCCTCTGTGGCATGGCACTCCCTTTTGTTCTCTCTCTCCTTTTGGGTGCTGTGGCCTGCAAAAGAGGCATCGAGTGGCAACATGTTCGGTCTAGAGTCTAGTCTCAGCATGCTTCTCCCATCTTGGAGGGATCCTTCCAATACCCCCCATTTGGTGCTCCCTTCTACATCTGGGCTGCCTTTACCCCTAGAGTGTGAAGTTGGCCTCCAAGCCATGGAATAAATCTCATGATATTTATCTCAGCAATTTTTGGGTGTTAGTCTCCTATTTTGTTACTTTATGTTCCCCAGATGAATGCAATCTTTCTATTTCTATCCCTCTCTTTCTGACTCATTTTGCTTAGCATGATACTTTCATGTAGTACCACTTGTATGTAAATTTCATGACTTCATCCTTTCTGACAGATACATAGTATTCCATTGTGTAGATGTACCCAAGTTACTTTAACCAGTCATCTGGGCACTCAGGGTTTTTCCAGATTCTAGTTATTGTAAACAGTGCTGCAATGAACAGACAACTGCAGATGTTGTTTCAACTATACTTTTTTGCCTCTCCAGGGTATATTCCCAGGAGTGAAATTGCTGGGTCAAATGGGAGCTCAATTTCTAGTTTTTTGAGAATTGTCCATTCTGTTTGCCAGAAGGGCTGAACCAGTTGGCATTCCCACCAGCAGTGAAGGAGGGCCCCTTTCTCACCACATCCACGCCAGCACTAGTTGCTTTTGTTTTTTTGGATGTGGGCCAGTCTATGTGGTGTGAAATGATATTTCATTATTGCTTTGATCTGCATCTCCCTGATGATTAATGATGTAGAGCATTTTCTCACGTGTCTATTAGCCATTCCTATTTCATCTTTGAGGAGGTTTCTGTTCATTTTGTCGCTCCATTTTTTGTTGGGTTGGATGTTTTCTTCTTGTGGAGTTCAACTAGTACTTTGTATATCCTTGATATCAACCCCTTGTCAGATGTGTATCTGGTGGGTATCCTTTCCCATTCTGTAGACTGTTTTTGTATTTTGGTCACTGTTTCTTTGGAGGTGCAGAAGCTTCTTAGTTTAAGATAGTCCCATTTGTCTATCTCTGTTTTCACTTGTTTAGCCACTGGCCTGACATCTTTGAAGACACCATTAGCTTCAACGTCATGGAAGGTTTTGCCATCTTTGTCTTCAATGCACCTTATGGATTCCAGTCTGATATTGAGGTCTTTAATCCATTTTGATCTTACTTCTGAAATGACACTTGTTCTGAGAAAATTTTGCTTTTTTCTATTGAATGGTTCTGGTATACCTGCTGTATATTCTCAATTCTTTCTATGTCTTTCCATAATAACAAATACTACTTATTAGAACCTTTTGTCCTACTATTGCAGCTAGACTATGAACTCTATAAAAGAATGAACTGTATCATTCTTCTTTACAAAGAAGCCTATAAGAACTGCTGTGCAAAATGTATATCACATATAATATTCAATCCATAACTATTTTCTATAAATATTTTGAATGAATAAGCAAATAGTTTAATATATCATATCACCAATGCTTAAGATAATTTGCGTTAAATAATTGTTGAATAACTGAAATGTCCCTAATCCTCATATTATCTTTTCATTGGATACAAAAGTCAAAAATATTTTTTCTGTATTTTGCTTATTATTTCACTATGTAATAAAGATGCTGGCTCTCCGTCATGGCCATGGCCCCAGAAGCACAAAGACTTAATGCAGAAATCCAGCAGCTTGGAGCAGAAAAGCGAATGGACTATGCATTAAACCACGCCATCATGCCTGCTCGGAGGGGAAAGGGTGTTGCCCCATTCGCCCTCTCCTCTCTGGAAAGAAAGATGGCAGCCGCAAGGGAGCCTTGTGGACAGCGGGTATGAGCTGGGGGTCAGGGACGACAAAAACCTCATGGGAAGGGGGCGTTCCGGTCTGTCCTTAATGCCCTACTGAGGTCACCAGTTGCCCCCCACGAGCGGCTCTCTAGCACGGCCATGGCCCCAGAAGCACAATGACTTAACGCAGAAAACCAGCAGCTTGGAGCAGAGAAGCGAACGGACTATGCCTTAAACTGCGCCATCATGCCTGCCCGGAGGGGAAAGGGTGTTGCCCCATTTGCCCTCTCCTCTCTGGAAAGAAAGATAGCGGCAGCAAGCGAGCCTTGTGGACAGCGGGTATGAGCCGGGGGTCCGGGATGACAAAAACCTCATGGGAAGGGGGCGTTCCGGTCCGTCCTTCACGCCCTACCGAGGTCACCATTTGCCCCCCACGAGCGGCTCTCTAGCACGGCCACGGCCCCAGGGCACAGAAACCAATCTCTTAATTATCTGACTTTTAGTAGAAATACTTCCAGGGTTAATAAGTAAAATAGCAGAAATCCAAAACCGCGCAGCTGCGACAACATTTAATTCTTAAACCCAGCTGTAGAAAGCAAATCATTTCACAATGCTTTTTCAGCATGTCTTTTTGGGGGGGGTTAAAATCTAAATAATAATGGTGCATCTTTTATCGAAACAATGAATCTAGTCAAAGTAGATAGAGTGTTAACTAGAACTCATCTGCCTCACAGGAATTGGGAGGGATGGGAGGTGGGGTTCTATTGGGGTTCGTGGTTAAAAAATAAGTATTGGTAAAGGGAAATGTGTTTGATATTTACATGACTGAGACCTAAACCTGAAAGCTCTGTAACTTTTCCCACAGTGATTCAATAAATAAATTATAAAAAAAAATAAATAAAGATGCTGGCCTGGCTTACCTCAAACTTGGATACATCTATTTCAACTGCTCCTCCTCGTAGTAAGGTCTGTTTGGGAGTCTCACGGATCATCACACTCCATCTAAAATTAATTTCAAAGACAAAAATACTTAATCTCTGTTTCATCACAGGTTAGCAGCAATGATTCACATGTCGAGTAAGAGGTAAAAAAAGGGTTTTCAATGATGGTAGGGTAGATTATAAGAGGTATCCACGCCATCTCAAGTCACCTGGTCCCTAAGTGAAGTACAAGATGCTTTATGAACCATCCCTAATGACTTACCTAGACCATTGTGTTGGAAAAACAGGGTTTTTGGAGATTAGTACTCAACCAAGACAATCATCTGAATCACTTGATATCATTTGTAAAATGTACATACGAATGACCTACACAATATCTACTGAATATTTATGGTGACAGGCTGGGCCAAAATGGCTGAGTAGGGAAAGGTCATACTGTACTCCACTGTTATCAACAACAAAACCTACACTAAATATTTAATTAAAGAATAATGACTGGAGTCTTATTGAAAATTTTCACTGTAAAATTCAGCCACTTCAGAAGAACCCATTTTTTGAATAAGGACCCAAAACTAGGATTAGAAGCAAATGAGTAGAAACATGCCATGAAAAGGGTATGTGGAGCAGAGATTAACAGTTGGAGGGATTTATAAACTGCTGAAGCATATGGAACCTTGCTGTGAGAAACGAAGGACGGGGAGTCAAGCTGAAAACCCAACACTCCAACCTTAAAGTTTTTAAGCTTAAAACACGACACCCTTTTGGGCCCAGCAGTGCTACAAGGCTTGTAGGAAAGAATTTTTCTCCTTCTCTATGAGTGAGAAAACCACACGTGAGGCGGAGGGGGAGTGCAGTGGGCAAACTGTGACGGGAACTCCGCCAATGCTTGGTTCCTCCCACAGGTCAGACCAGTGTGGAGCATACATTTCTGAGTGGGCAACAACATTAGTAACCATCAGTTAATCTCCCATCTCCATATTCCATAAGATTCACATCTTGGTCTCTTATACACCAGGGGAGGCTGACTACCCCCATTCACATTAGGCCGATAGTCCATAAGCCACTACTTCAATCAACATCCTCCCAAACTCACAAAAGTAATGGTGAGTGCAAGAAACAAATATAACCCTAATCAAAAAAGTAACAGTAAGTTCAGGCCAAAGAACACATTCTCTGAATCACCAAAAGAGGCTCCAAACAATTACATAGGAAAATCAAAATGGAATGCAATATACTTGATGTGGAAAGAAAAGACCACCACCCATAGAGCTCCACCAGAGTCCTCCCTGACTGTGGTGGGGGATTCTGATAGTTTATTGGGAAGAACCACATCGAGACTACCACAGGCATCATGGTGAAACAGTAGAGAATTCCACAGCTAGGAGTGGATGAAAATTGGAGCCCCCAAATGTCAACATAGAACATCTCCATATATAATCTATCAGATAAAGAATTCAGAGATGAAGTGGTGAGGGTGTTTTATGAGCCCAAAGAAACAGTGGAACAAATATCCAATAACATAAAGGAGGATGTGAGAGAAACAGTGCAATAAACAGCAAATAAAAGATGGGAGAACGTGAAAGCAGAAATCACAAAACTACAAGCAGAAATGTCATTGACAAAATCGGTAGATGAAATGAAAAACTCAATGACTGCCTCAACAGTAGAATAATAACAGCTGAAGTCAGAATCAGTGAGCCTGAAGATGTGATGAAAAAACTTCCAGGCGACAGCAGAAGATGAGAAAAGACTTCAAAATAACTAAAGGTAGACAAAAGAACTATGAAATAAATTCAACAGGAACAACATAAGAATAAGAAGAGTCTCAGAAGGACAGGAACACAACCCCAAAGAGGAAATAAGAAATACATTATTGCTGAAAAGTTCTCAGAGCTAGAGAATGCAGGCATCTATATCCAACAAGTCTGAATGGCACCAGCAAAAGGACACTCTAATAAAAAGACTGCAAGACATATCCTAATCACAATGATAAAATACATACATAGAGATAAAACACTGAAAGCAGTAAGAACAAGGAAGAAAATTACGTATAAAGGAGCATTATTTAGATTTATAGCTAACCTATTGAATGAAACCTTCCAGACCCTAGGTCAATGGTGGGATACAATAAAAAAAAACTTAATGAAAATAGGGCCTCACAAAAAGTATTTTACCCACGTAGATTCTTATTCAGAGTTGAAGGAATACTACACAAATTAACAGATGAACAACAGCTCAGGAACTTCACAGACTCAAAACCAATTTTGATGTCTGCCATAGAGGCAGGAGAGGGTTGAAAGAGTGTGAGGGTAATAGTGGAGACATTGGTGGTAGAGAATGTGCACTGGTGGAGGGATGGGTGTTTGATCATTTTATGACTGAAACTCAAACATGAAAGCTTTACAACTGCATCTCATGGTGCTTCAATAAAAAAACAATTTTGAAAGAATGGAAATGGCTATTATAAGGCAAGACAGACCCCACAAACACAAGAAACTTTAAAAGAAAGATTGCTCAAACCCCTATGACAATAATCTCTCTCTAAGTCAATGATCTAAGTACACCAATTAAGAAACACAGAGGTACAAAATGAATTTTAAAATTAATACAATATTTTTCTACCTACAGGAAACACATTTGAATAGTCAGAGCAAACACAGACTTAAAGTCAAAGTCTGGAAAAATTTCTTTAAACAGACCACTTATTCAGAAAGGCTGGGGTGGCGATACTAGTATCCAACAACATAGATTCCAGACTGAAAAATGTTAGAAAAGAAAGTGAAAGTCATTTCTGAATAATCGTGGTATATATGCATCAGGAAGAAATTACACTCCTACACATATATGCAGCCAATGAGGTACCAGCAAACTACTTAAAACAACTACTAATGAACTTCAATGAGGACATTGGTAGCAACACAATAGTAGTTGGAGATTTAACACTGCTTTGTCACCACCTAACAAGACTAAAACACAGCAAAAAAATACTGGCTTTGAAGGAAGAAATAGAATAGAGTTGGGTACTAAATATATACAGGGCTTTTTGTCCCCAAAAGTTGAATACACATTCTTCTCCAGTGCACAAGGGACATTCTTCAAGATAGACCACATGCTGGGTCATAAAACAAACCTCCATAAAATTAAGAGAATATAAATTTGTCAATTATTTTTTCAGACCATGATGCACTGAAAATAGAAGTTAATCACATACAAAAATGGAGAACCAAATGAAACACGTAGAAATTAAACAGCTTGCTACTAAACAACCAGTGGGTTAGAGAGGGAATCAAAGATGAAATCATCAGATATTTGGAAACAAACAAGTATAAGCTTGTGGGACATAGCAAAAGTAGTGTTAAGAGGGAAGTTTATAGCTCTGCAAGCATTCACCAGGGAGGAAGAAAGGGCCCACATAAATAACTTGACTTCACAGCTTAAGATCTTGGAAAATGACCGACAATAGGAGCTCACACAAGGTAGGAGAAAGGAAATAATAAAACTTGGGGCAGAAATTAACTAGGTGGCATCCCCCCCAAAACATAAAAATCAATGAAACCAAGAGCTGGTTCTTTGAAAAACTAAACAAGATCAACAAACCACTACCAAGATTCACAAAGAGAGAGAGAGAGAGAAAGAAAAAAAGAGAAAGAACCGTAATAAACAGAATCAGAAATGAAAGTGGGGGGCATCACAATAGAAACCACAGAAGTTCAAAGGATCATCAGAGATTACTTTGAGAATCTTTATTCCAAAAAACAAGTTAACCTAGAAGAAATGGACAAATTCCTGGAATCCTATAAACTGCCAAGGCTGAACCAAGAAGATTTAAAATATCTAAAAATATTGAGGAAATTGAAATGATAATCAAAATTTTTTCCAAAACACAAACCCAGGTCCAGGTGGATTCACTAGTGAATTATTTTAAACTTCAGAGAGAACACAGTGTTGATCCTTTTCAAGCTTTTGTAGGAAATTGGAGAAACAGAAACATTCCCAAACAGTTTCTACGAGGCAACTATCACCCAGATACAAAAAGCAGACACCACTAAAACAGAGAATTACAGTCCAATATCCCTGATAAATACAAATGCAAAGAACCTCAGCAAAATACTAGGAAATAGATTCTAATGGGTCATCAAAAAGATCATACACCATGACTTGGATCCACCTGAGGATGCAAGGATGGCTTAATATTTGCAAGTCAATCAGCATAATACACCATTTCAATAAGAGAAAAGCCCACGGGATCATCAATAGATGAAGAGAAAGCATTTGACAAGACCCAGCACCCATTTATGATAAAACTCTTAACAAAATGGGAGTTGAAGGAACATCCCTCAATATAGTCAGACATCTACCAAAAGTCCATAGCAAGCATTATCCTAAATGAGATAAAACTAAAATTCTTCCCCCTATTATCTGGCAGAAGACAAAGTTGCCCACTTTTGCATCTCTTATTTAATATAGTACTGGAAATATTTGCCACAGAGGTCAAGCAAGAAAAAGATATCAAGGGCACTCAGATATCAAAAAGATATCACGGGCACTCAAAGAGGGGCAGATGAATCAAACTCAGGTCGGGCGTGTGGGCCGCGTGCAAGGCAAACACCCTACCTGCTGTGCTATTGCTCCAGCCTTACCCTTGAGTGTATCTCCTAGTAATTTGAAGTGCTGAACCATCAGATGAGATTTTGTCCTTGAGTTAATCCCCGCAGGAGTGGCTTTACATCTCTTTATTGTTATGATAATGTTCAACCCCACCTTTGTATCCCCACCCTTCATGATTTCTATATAACTATGCTGTAAGGAGTAAGAGGAAAGGAGATGTTGAAGACATTGAAGACTAGATGTTGGGGATGAGAAAGTTGGGACTTGAATCTGAAGACGAGATGCTGGAGACAAATTGCTGAGGACTAGATGTTGAAGATGCTGAGAATGAGATGTTGAAGACACTGGAGACTAGATGCTGAAGCCTAGAGGAGAACTGAGATTTTGGTACCTTGAGGCCTGCTAGGACTAGACAGAGAACCAGATGATGATGATAAATGGAAGTATAGGACT